AACAGCAACAACGTCCAAGCAGAATCCAAATCTGGATTTTCAGCCAATCACAGGAGAGGTACAAGCAATGCTGTGGCGAAGAGTCTGCGTGGGTCTGAAGGGAGGTGGCGGGAGAGAGGGGCGTGGCGAGAGTCGCGCAGTTTCGCTAAATCCCAGGTGGTCACGCTGGCGAAGAGGGCGTCATCCCTGGCGAGAGATTCTGGGGATCTTTCCTCAGGGGGTTGGGGTTGAGTGTGGTTTCCACCAGTGGCAGAGTGTGGGGCGGTTCGTGGAGGGGTTGGAAAGTTGGAAATTGTGGTTGGGGGTGGTGGTGTAGCAATAGTTCCCGTCGCGGTGCGGGTTGGTGTTGGGGGCCCCCTCCTCCCTATGGACCGCGGAGCCGTGCCACCTCCCCCAGTGTGGGATGGTGTAGCTCTTCCTGCTCTAACTGGAGTCTGGTGGTGTGTCTCCTCCACGGACTCAGAACTCAAGTTGAGTCCGTCGATTCAGCAGGTACAAAGCTGCTGTCCGAAGTACTGCTTTCAGTATCCTCTATCATTAAAGCCCGTCTTCCCGCCTGCTGGTAGGCGTTCTCTGGCCCGCCTCCGCGTGCTCGCCCTCCGCTGCCCGCCGTTCTCCCCCCGCGTCCTGCAGGAATCCCCCCCGTTCGCCCCTCGTCCGCGTTTGGCGCGGGATCCTCCCCTCGCCTTGATGGTGACGACTGCTGCTCCCGGCCGCGACTGTACCGCGGAGAGCGAGCCTGCTCCTCGCCCGCTTCCTCCTGCGCGACCTGCCGCGAGCGTCCCCGTCGCTCCGATGGGTGCGGATGAACAGATCCGCCGCCGTTTCGAGGAGCATCGGCGCGAACTGCCGCGGTCCCTGTCCCGCAAAGAGCGGGCGCTCGAGGGACACGTCGCGCGCTCCGACGCGGAGGCAGCGGCGCACCGGGGGCGTTCGCCTCGGCGCCGCTCGTCAGTGACGCGCGAGGGAGGGCGGGCGAACCCCCGCAATGATCGCCGTGAAAAATCTCCGTCGCCCCGTCCGCCGCGGTCGCCGCGTTCGCCTCGCTCGCCTCGTTCGCCTCGCTCGCCTCGTTCGCCTCGACCCAAGGTATCGCGAAGCCGGTCCCGAGATCGTCGGACGCGCCGCCACCAGTCCCCTGCTCGCCGTTCGATCCGTCAACGATCACCTCATCGTCCCGCCTCTCGTCACCAATCTCCCGCGGCGCATTCATCGCGGCCGTCAAAGCGCCAGCGACTTCACTCTCCTCGTCGCGGGGGCCGATCCCCTGGGCGCAGCTGCCAGCGCTTGCAATCCCGCCCGCAATCGCCCGTGCGGTCGAATGCGAGTGGGCGCCATGGGCGCTGTGGAGGCTATGGCCATGGCGGAGCGGCGCCGCGGGCCCCGTCCGCGATGGAGCGCGTTCTCCAGCGGCTGGACGGCGTGGAGGAAGCCATCCATCGTACGAAGGCAGAATCGTCGTCTCGTCCCGCGCGTCCACCTGCCCCTGCTGTTCCCCTCGCTGCCCTCCTGCCGCATGATCCCGAGGGGTCTCTTGTGCGTCCTGGGCGTCCGCTGCCTCCTGGGGCTGGCTTCGTGGGTGCTGGTGGCGGGGACCCGTGGGCACCGTTCGTTCCGCCACGCCCTGCGCCTCCACCTCGGGATTTGGCGGTGTCTTCGCGCCGAGCTCGTGCAACCGCGCTGCTGCCCCTGAAGAAAGAAGTGCCCCACGGCGACCCTGGCGCACTTGTGGTCGCTTGCAGAGAGCCTACAGAGCCTCGAGCAGATTCTCCTGGAGTCGCACGGCTCCATGTCGTTGACCCCACCGAGCACGTTCTCTCAGCTTCCGCGAGCAAGGTGTCACGCGGCGGCGTCAACATTATTTGCGTACGTAACGCCACTGCAGGTAGCGCCCTCCCCGGGAGTAGTCTCGGCCACCCTGCTGGCTGAGAGGGCCCTGTATCTGAAGACGATTGTAGGAGATCGCGGAACTCCTGTTGACGTTGTCGGCGCCACCGCATCAGTGGTCCGCTCGATGTGGCTGACCGCGCGCGAAACGCTAGGTGAGCTTGAGGCGGACTGCATGTAGGCGCTCCCCTTGTCCGTGTGTAGACTCGCTCCATGTAGTGATGTCTAGATGCCCATTGATGTCGCCGTTGTGCTTGTTGTCATGTTGAGTGTCTTGTTTGATGAGCGCTTGTCGTCCCTAAACGCGCGGCCGAAGGCCGCGCCGCGAGCGCCGGCAAAACGTGAAAGAACCAGCCGAATAATGAACTAGATCTCTGGCCGAGAGGCCATTATATAGGCGGGGAGGGAAAGAGGCTAGGGGAGGAAAGGGAAAGAGGCTAAGTCACCCGTGCTCTCTCTCTCTCTCTCTCTCTCTCTCTCTCTCTCTCTCTCTCTCTCTCTCTCTCTCTCTCTCTCTCTCTCTCTCTCTCTCTCTCTCTCTATTTGTTGTGCCAGCTCCCTCTGTGCAGCATTAGCTTCCCCCCCTTCAGCTCTCTCCCCGTCTTTTGACGGTTGTGTTTGCTTGTTTGCGTTTCGACAGCCACCGAAGTACCAACTTTCAACTTTCGTTTTTTCATGCCTGCCTATTTGCTGGCATCCACAGGTGCTGCTGTTGAGCCACTACTATTTCTTTGCCGTTGCAGCCATAGCACCCTCCGATGAGGCATCATGCCACAAGATTGCACTAACTATAGCCGTTAGTAATTGTGGAAGTATGTTGAATTGATATCTGCATATCCTACAATAACTGCCTACAGTTCACTTGTGTACTAGTTACTTATCCATTTCTACCACTAGTGGTGTACCCTTTTGTCAGAATCCCAGCCACTAACCACTGGGATAAAAGGGCTTAATTATGTAGCGGGTGAGTGCGCCCATAACCCCCCAGGCCAACGTGCCTGTAACCCTTCCCTAGGATCAATCGGGGATCACCAGTGGACCTCTGACACCCCCCCGCACTGGGATGCCCGAGGTGCACACACCGGGATTCGAACCCAAGACCTTCGCTCTGATACCATGTCAGAATCCCAGCCACTAACCACTGGGATAAAAGGGCTTGTTTATGTAGCGGGTGAGTGCGCCCATAACCCCCCAGGCCAACGTGCCTGTAACCCTTCCCTAGGATCAATCGGGGATCACCAGTGGACCTCTGACACCTTTTGCCTTGTTTCTTACCCAAGCCTTGTAGCTTTCCTACTGATGAAACCCCATTATTTCACCAACTTCCTCCCCATGCTAAACACTCTCAAATCGACCTACCACAACCCTAGTTTTTAAGTCTTGAGTTAACTTTGTACACAATCAGGCAATTTGCCAACACAACAAAATAGGCAGCCTGCGAATAAGTGACTTGCCAATACAGCAAGGACGACGGCCTGCTAAAGCTGCACCAAAGTGGCTTGCTGACGTTGCAGCGACAAAAGGAGAGACGGGTAGAGGAGGAACAATGGGGTCGGTAATAAGGGAGGAAGGACACGAGAGACCGTAGGGCGGGCGAGACGGAGAAAGTTAGAGGGCGTAATGAAGGAGTCCGCAGACGACGACGGAGGAGGCAATTGGAGAGCAAAGCTTGGCGGAGCACGAGAGGCATAAGAACGGAGGAGAACAGAGTGGACATTAGAAGTGGGAGACACGAGACAAGCTCGAGAGAGACAACAGACCAATTGTGGGAGACAGGAGACAATTTAGGAGACAAAGGAGAAGAAAGATGTGAACAAGGAGGAAGACGAGTCGGAGATAGCTACGAGACTATGGATTACCCAATATCTATGCTACGCACGTCAGGATACTCGTGTTCGTAAGCCTTGACATTTCAGGAGGTTGTGCTATTCAATGCCCTGGAGCGTTAGGTGTTTTATTGGACAACCCTAGATTGGTCTGGCTTGGCCTTGACTGGTCTGGCCTGATCTGGCTTGGTCTGGCCTGTATGGCCTCTTCTGGACTGGTCGGGCTTGGTCTGGTCTCCACTACCCTGTTCTGCCCTGACTGTTATGGTGTTGCACAGTTTGAAGTGCGAGGTAATGCTTGTCTGTCCCGTCGCGGCCTGGTCAGGCATGCTCGTCTTAATATGGTGTGAGATGGTTTGACCTGGTCTGGCCGGTCTGGGGCCTAGCCGGTTCTGACCTATTCTTGCCATGGTCCTGGCTGGGTATGGTGGTCGGGAGTGAATATCGGTAACGTGGGAAATAGAATGCATTGTGAGCAACTTTTGAAGTTCTCAAGTTCATTGTAGTTTCATGATAACCTTTTCACCCTTCCCTGTGGGCTACACGGTTTCTACGAATAGGAAGACTTACAATGCTAGCAATGAGGCTCGTGCTATTCCCGGCGTAGACTGATGCGGCCTTATACAGCGTTGCACGGTTTGGTAAGGGCTGGTGTGCAATATTGCGAACAACAGTACGGTCGAGGAAAGACACAGGCCACCTGGAGACATACCGGCCACATGTACCAGATGAATGGAGAATCTATTAACACTTAAGGTATTTGTTCATCCCGTGCACTCAGCTTATATATTTTCACGGATCAATGTTGAGAGGACGATCAAAGTGCGAATTCGAGGGAGGCAGCAACATGGGAAGGCCACTTGGCCACTTTGTTTTTGTCGTTCATTCTCCCCATCATTCGCCCCCCCACCAAACCTCCAGGTTCTCTAACAAAACCAGAACCAGACGGCTCGGGTTCACCGAATCGCCATTTCAAACCTAAACACCACCTGTCCCCATGTACCGAACCTAACCCAAACCAGTTTGGTCCTGGTAATATCGAGAAGGGCAGCATCAAGGCAAACCAAGGAAACCCTAATCGACAATACTAGGAGGTAGTTTGATTAACTAAGACTGGGACTTGATGAAACAGGTATAGCGGACGGGGCGAAAGCGCAGTTTGTCTGTAGAGTACCTGTTATTGTATGTGGTCGGTGTTGTTCGTCGGTGCCTCGTAGACTTTTACTTTATGGGTCGGCATGTTGGGCCGTTATATCTCGTCATCCCTAAGCCGCACGTCTTGGGCACATGAGCATGACGTCATCGTCACCGCATGTCATGGACATGGCGACGATAGACGACGCCGCAGCTGACGACGCATACGCAACCGTCGATGTCTGGAGCGATGGCTTGCTCTCAGAATCCGACGGCAGGGATCAGTCCAGCCTCGGCCGGACCATCGGTCTGCCGCCCGATACTGACGACGGCAGGGGCGATTGCGATACGCACTGCCTGCTGTTCGGTCGCAGCTGCTCCCGCTATCGGCGCCGGTTCTGGTTCTTCTCCGCTCTCTCGCCGGCTTTGCCTGGGGATGATGACCGCATCGCTTCAGGCAGCGGCTGCCAGTTCCCGCCGCACTGCAATCCGTGGCACGGCGAGGATGCGCGGGGCCGGCGCGAGATTCCGCCGCACGGCGTCGATAGGAAGAGGGCAAGGCGGAGGTTGGAGGAAGCCGGGGGGAAGATGGACGAGGAGGCGGAGGAAGCGGGGGAGGAGGGGGAGGAGAGGGGAAGGGGGGGAAATGGGGAGGAGAGTGATGGGAGGGAGACGCGGGTCAAACGGTGGATGCGAGGGCCTGTGGGGCTGTATGTCAGCGTGATGGTACGTGCGCCGTGTGGGACGCGTTGTATGTGTAGCGAAGGACCGAAGACATGAGATTTATGATTGGGCAGGCAGATTAAGTAGTTAGTTGGCAGGCAAATTGTTGGGTAAGTTTTAAAGTGAGTGGCTTGCACAAGTGTCGGACAGCGCACATTCAACGGTCGTGCGGATCCAACCGTCATGCGAATCCAACGGTAGTGCGGCCAACGGTCGTGCGAATCCAAAGGTCGTGCGTGTCTCTCGTTTCGCCATGACCTTTCACCCTCCCCCCACGTGACACGCCCGCCACTCACTTCCCTCACGTCCACTTCCTCATCATTCACCCCCCACCACAATCCCGCCGACCCACCGGTCACCAGACCTTCCTCTCTCCGCCACCGATTCCCGTAAGCTGCCTTCCGTACCTTCCTTCCTCCTAGCCCCAACTCCACCCCCCTCCCCCTTCCCCACCTCCCCTCTCCCGCTCCTCCCATGTGCTCCCCTTTCCCCACAATCCGCGCACCCCTCCCCTTCTTCCCCCTCCCCCGCCTCAGGTTCTGCTCTTCCTCGCGCTATTCATCACCGCCTTCACCGCGTGCGGCCTCGTCGCATGGTACCTCTCCCCCGCCGCCTCCGCGCCTCCCTGCGCCTCCTCCTCCCCCTCCTCCCCATCTTCCTCCCCCTCCTCCCCCTACTCCGCCTCCGCCTCCGCGTCCCCCGTCGCCGCCACCCCCCTGGACGCCTCCTTGCGCGAGCACCTGCTAGTCTCCCTGCAGAACGCGACAGTGGCGGCGCTGCTTCCGCCGCTGAACGCTCTGAACGGCATGGCGGTGCTGCTTGCGCCCACTGCGCGCGCCCTGGGGGGAAAGGCGGTGGCGAGGGGAAGAAGGGGGCGGACGCGGGCGCTATCACGGCTCATGCGCAAGGTGGGGAGGGGAGGGGAGGAGGGGACTCACGGGCTGTGGTCGGTTGCTAGCCTGTCACCTTGTAACCCCTCGATTTGCACCTTTCAATATTCAACTGGGTTTATTAGTGGCAAATTTAACAGCTAAACAACGCCAAGTGGTCCAAAGCCATACCGCGCTGGGCTGAAACCAAATCGTCATTGGCCTGCTTCCTTGCCGTTTTTTTTGTGTGGAATCAACCAAGTTCGTTTATCCATCAGTCTGCTAAGTCATCTCCGCGCTTCACTGCTCTCACTGTTTCCCTTCCCCTGCTCTGCTCACATCCCATTCCCCCTTTCTCTTCCTTCCTCCTCCCTCTCTCTTCCCCCCGTCTTTCCACTCCCTCCACCTTCCCCCCACCTCTCTCTCTCTCTCTCTCTCTCTCTCTCTCTCTCTCTCTCTCTCTCTCTCTCTCGATTTCTCTCACACTCATGCATTTCCCTCCCTCACGCCCTCCCTTCCACATGCCAATCCATGTCTGAATTTAACAGGTCGTTCCGCACATGTATCCTGCGTTTTTGGGAGCACCATCACTGTCGGCCGTGGTGCTTCAGACATACAACCGCTCTGTACCCACCCAATTTGTGGGTTACTACCGTAACTGGACTGCTGACTCACTGCTAACCCAGTCCCCGCACTCATCACTTCCGAACGATAGCCTTCCGCACCTTACACGTGCGTCGCCCCCTCTCCTTCCATCATCCACTGATGTAGCGGCTTCTTCTGACAATACACCTGGTAACTCACCTGGTAACTCACCTGCTAATTCACCTGCTAACACACCTGACAACCCGCCTAAGAGAAACACAGATTCACCTGACAGCACCACCACTGCGAGCAACGCATCTTCTTCCTCTCTCCCGACTCTCCCGCTCCTCTCCGCCTCATCCCTTTACTTCGGACTCACTCCATCAGTCGCCACCACTGCCACCACCACCCTCTCCGCCTTCCTCTCCCCCGTCAACCCCTACGACGGCCTCCCAATCACCTCCCCACCCCCCGCTCCCACTGCCTTACCCCCGCTGCTGGTCCCTCACTCCCTGCGCGCCTCCGTTCCGCCATCGCCCTTCCCCTTCTGGTTACTTGCGCCCAACGCCTCCCCCTCCCTCCTCGTCGCCTCTTTGCTCCCTTTGGAGGCGTCCGTGGAGAATCAAGGGGCGTCCGCGCAGCCATGGGCGGTGCTCTCTGCGCTGCTGCCCTTCCGCCACCTCTCCCTCCTCCTTTCCTCCCTCTCCCTGCCGCCAGGCGGGGCGCTGCTGCTGCTATCCCAGGTGCGTGGGGTGGGTACTGGGAGAGAGGGATGAGGCTCGGTGAAAAGAGAAGGGAGAAGGGAAGGTTGGGTCTGTAAGATGGTAGGGATAAACAGGTGGCAAAACGGCGAACTGTTACGATCTTTCTGTAACTGTATGTAACGTTTTGGGAGTTTGGTCCTGAGTCTGCCAGCGATAAGCCCTCAAGCCCTTTCTCTTCGTCTGCCTGCCGCATTCCCTCAGTCCGTTTCCGTCATCCCATAAGTCCACCCATCTCCCCAATCCCTCATTCCCGCATTCAGTCAATCCCTCACTCCCTCTTTCCCCCACTGGCTCATCACAGGACGGTTATCTTGTGGCGTCATCTCGGCTCTCCTCCCAGCAAGAGTTTCCTGCGCCAGCTGATTCAGCCGCAGCAGCAGCAGGAGCACCTGCAGCAGAGGCAGCAGCGAGCAGCAGCGATCCCCTGGTCCGCAGCACTGCCCTCGTGCTCGCACAGCGATGGGGATGGGATAGCCAGCAGCAGCAGCAGCAGCAGCAAGGGCAGGGGGTAGCACAGAGGCAGAGGCAGGGGCTGGGGCAGGAGCAGGAACAGGGGCAGGGGAAGCAGGAGGTAGCGCCAGTGCATGAAGCAGCAGTGGTGCTGCAGGATTGGGTTGGGGGGGAGCAGGGGCAGCAGAGGCTGCAAGGGCAGGAAGGTGGGGGAGCAGGGCGGGACGCAGCAGCAGCAGGGGCGGTGGAGGACCGGGTTATGTCTCTAGACGCCGTCCCTTTCAACGCCTCCTCAGGCCTCCCTCTTGTTGCTGTGCTACTGCTGCCACTACCTTCCACCTCCTCCTCCTCCTCCTCCTCCTCCTCCTCCTCCTCCTCTTCTGCCGTCTCCCACTTGCTCAACTCCTCCTCTCCACCACCCACCTCCTCCCCTTCCTCATCCTCCTCCTCTACCTCCTCTCCTCCCCCCAGCCTGTCCCACGCCACCTCCATCACCATCCTCTCCATCTCCCTCACCGCCCTCGCCTGTCTCCTCCTCTCCTCCCTCCTCCTCTGCTCCCTCCTCCCTTTCCCCACCTCCCTTGCTCTCCTCGGCTGCCCACACTCCTCCTCCTCTACCTCCACCTCTCCCTCTGCGCGCCAGCGTCCAAGGCCCTCTGCTTCCATGGCTTCTCTGCACAGCCTTCTCTCTGTGCGCTCGTCTTCCCTCTCGTTCTTGCCTGGGCGGGACGGGGCTGGGCAGGCGGTGGGGGAGCGGAGGGGCAAGAGGGGGGAGCGGTGCGCGTGTGGACGGGCGGGCGCCGAGCAGAAGAGCCAGTTCATGGTCAATATGAGGTGCGCGGGGGAGGAAGGAGTGACTGGGAATGGGAGCATGGAAAGGGGTAGGAAAGGGAAGGAAAGGGATGGAGGAGCATGGAGAATGAATGAAGGGGCTGAGAATACAGCTCTACCCGTTTTTTCGCTTTCTTCCTATGTCAACACCATGGATGCCTGCCTCCTCCTATGTCCACTGCTCTTTCTTCCCTTCTCCTCTCTCCTCGCTCTGCCAGCTACCCACGAGCTGCGCACGTCAATGGCAGGCATTATAAGGCTGAAGGGCATCCTGCAGCAAACAGCCTCTGTCCCTCCCACACTCCAGTCCATTCCTTCCAAACCCCCCTCCCCTCTCCCCCCTCCACACCCCTTGTGAGCAGCCACGAGCTGCGCACGCCGATGGCGGGCATTATCGGGCTGATGGGCGTCTTGCAGTGCGACATGCCTTTTGAGTCGACCCAAACGTCCTCTCTCCCTCCCGTGCTCGCACCCCCCCCCAGCCACGAGCTGCGCACGCCGATGGCGGGCATCATCGGGCTGATGGACATCCTGCAGTGCGACGACAACCTAACGGCGGACCAGCTAGACATTGTCGCGCAGATCCACCGCTGCGCCATGGCGCTGCTTGGTATCCTCAACAACATCCTCGACCTCAGCAAGGTGGGATGGGATGGGAGCGAGGGAGGGTGGGTGGATGTGCATGTTTTTGTGCGTGTGTGCTTGAACAAGTATGTGTTTGCGCCATGGCGCTGCTTGGTATCCTCAACAACATCCTCGACCTCAGCAAGGTGGGAGCGAGGGAGGGGCGGGTGTGCATGTGTTGGTGCGTGTGTGCGTGCGTGTTTGAATACGCATGTGTGCACGCCATGGCACTGCTCGGCATTAACAATAACACCCTCGACTTCAGCAATCTTCCTTTTCCGTGCCCCGTGCTCCGTACCCCGTGCCCCATGCCCCTATGTCCCGTGCCTCATGCCCCGTGCTTGATGGGCCCAGGTGGAGGCGGGGAAGCTGGAGCTAGCGGAGGAGAGGTTCAACCCAGCGAGGGAGCTGGAGGGGCTGGTGGACCTCTTTGCCGTGCAGTGCGCCTCCTCTGGCCTCGACATTGCCCTCGACCTCGATGGTACGTATGCGTGGGACTGGTGGTTACATGCACTCACATTCACTTGGCTTGCATGCACATGGTTTGCATGCGCTTCCCTTCAAACCCGCCTCGCCTGCCAAACAGTCACATCTCCTCACCTTCATTCCCCCACCCAACATTCCTCTCTAATGCGCTATCAGGCTCCCACCCTCACACACTCCCTCCCTGTCCTGCTCTGTGATCCCCTATATCCTCTACCCTTTCCCCCCTCTGCTGTCCCTTCTGCCGACGCCCACAGACGACCTGTGCACAGAACTACCTAAATATTTCCCTGTCCGCTCCACTCTCCCTTCACCTCTCCCTCTCCTCACGCCTCTCAGACGACCTGTCTACAGAAGTGATCGGCGATGCACCGCGCTTCAGGCAGATATTCGCCAACCTGCTGTCGAACGCCATCAAGTTCACCCCGCAGGGCTGGATCACCATCCGCGGCTACACCCAGCAGCTCCCATCCTCAACACACTCACTGTCCTTCTCCCTTCTCCCCTCTCCCCTATCCCCTACCCTCTCTCCCTCCTCCCCGTACCCCCACTTCCCTCTCCTCTTCCTTCTTCGAACGCCTCAGATGACCTGTCCACAGAAGTGATAGGCGACGCGCCACGTTTCCGGCAGATATTCGCCAATCTGCTGTCAAACGCCATCAAGTTCACCCCGCAGGGCTGGATCACCATCCGTGGCTACACGCAGCAGCTCGGCGCCTACCGCTCTGCCGCTGATCTAATCCCCACTCCGCGCGCATACACGCAGCCTGAGGCACCGCCTGGGTTTGGGTTTGACGCGGTGGGAGGCGGTGGTGGGGTGTGGCGGAAGGGCGGGGAGAGCAAGGTGCCTTCGTGCAGGTCGATGGGTGCTGTGAGCGAGAGGAACGGTGGAAAGGGTTGGGGAGGGGTGGAGGAGGTGGTGGAGGAGGGGAGGGGAGGAGGAGGGGCGGTGGGGTCGGAGAAAGTGGTGCTGCATTTTGAAGTGGAAGACTCGGGTGTTGGTGCGTGTGGTGGGGGGAGCGTTTGATCGGTGTGTTGTGTTGCCACTATATGCTCTTTCGCATCCATCGTTGGTGTTACATGCATGAATCTCATTATTGGGCACATGTGGCAATGGTCTGCATGTTTCAAGTAATGTCGGCCTCCTTTCTCTCTATCTCTCTCTCTCTCTGCCATAACCGTCTACCACCCACAGTCTCACAGCTACTTCCCCACTCATCTTTTCTCCTTTCCTTTAAACAAGTTCTTGCTTTCCCTCTCTCCTCTCTCCGTTCCCTGCGCAGGTATCCACCCCTCCATGTGGACACGTGTCTTTGAATCATTTGTCCAGGAAGACGAGTCTACAACTCGCGCGTACGTTCCACACCACACATGCACGCGCACGCGCGCGCACACACACACTCAATCACTCATTCACACAATCGCACACACATCCCTCTTTGATCCAAACACGCGCATCTCCACGAAAAGCCATGCAGGGTCGACATTTGCTCCGCTTTCAGAGAACCCGTGCTGCCCGGTTTCTCCATCCATCCATGCAGGGTCAATATCTGCTTCCATCCCTCTTTCATCTGCTCTGCTCCCCACCCTCCCTCCTTGTTGACCCAAAGCCCCTTCTTATTCCCCCAATTCCCGTCCGCTGTCCCCCCCTCTGCCTTCCCATAAATCTCCTTCCCTTCTCCCCTCGTCCAACCGCATCTCTTTCCCCTTGGAATCATGACACCCTGCTCTGAACAGCCACGGTGGCTCGGGCATTGGGTTGAGCATAGTGAAGGGTTTCGTGGAGCGCATGGGCGGCTTCATAGCCGTTGTTCCCAAGGATACACCCGGCACGCGCTTCGCCTTCCACCTCTGCTTCCAACGTCCCCCACCCGCCTCCCCTCAGCTCCCCTCCTCCCCTCACGGCCTCGGCCTCTCCGGAAACCCGTTTCTTCCAAGCGAGCAGCCGTTGTCCTTCCCCACCTCCCCGCCCACGCACTCGCTTAATCCCACTCCGGCCTTCGATCCTCTCACCGCCTCGCCGCCTCACACCCACGCATCGACCACTGCACCATCACAGTCACCCCCACGAGCACCAGCAGCAGCACCACCAGCAGGGCGCCGTGGGTTCCCTTCGCGAGCATCCAGGCGGGCGTGTCTCGCCCTGCCGCCAGAGCTGCGAGGGGTGCGGGTGCTGCTGTGTGTGGAGGACGCAGTAGATGTAGCCGTGGTGGAGCGGTGGCTGGCACGGCACCGCGTGCGGTCAGGGCGAACAGAGAGCACCAAGGAGCTTCTCGTGGCGGTTAGAGACTGGGCTGCCAAGGCAAGTCTTCGGCACAAGCAGCAGCGGCAGCAGCCGTGGGCGCAGCAGCAGGGGCAGGGGCAGGGGCAGGGGCAGCAGAGGCTGCAGACGCAGGGGTCAAACCCGTTTGCAGATACGAACGACGGGGGCGATCGGGTGGAGTCTGTTGCTGCTTGGAGCGCCGCTGCTGCTGCTGGTGTTGCTGGTGTTGCTGGTAATAGCGGAGGGGAGGATGAACTGGGGCAGAATTGGCAGCAGCGGGAGCAACAGGAGGGGGCTGAGCAGGAGGAGGGGTTGGACGAGGATACAGAGGAGCGGCTGCTTGTGCTCTTAGAGATTGAGAAGCTGCCAGGCATGGCGCAGACGCCTCCAGACGTGGCCAAGGTGCGTGCCTTCCTCACCAAGCTCCGCTCCTACCAGCCCAGCGGGGTCGTCTTTGCCTGGGTGCTCACTCCTGCCGCCGCCCCCTCCTTACGCTCCACCCTCCGCGGATTCTCCGTAGTGAAACCTCTCCATCCGGGGAAGCTGCAGCGCGTGTTGGGGCTTATGGTGCGGGGGTCGCCTTCGGAAGGGGATGCAGAGGCAGGGATGGGTGTAGGGGACGGTGGGGATGGGTTGGGGGGAGTGGGGGTGGCTGTGGATGGGTCGGGGATTCCGGTGCTGCGACAGGAGTTGCTGGTGGCGCAGGGGACGGGGGTGCACTTGGCAGTGGAAGCGGCGCGTGCGGAGAAGCTAGAGGCGGTGTGGGAGGAGCTGCAGCGGACACACAGCACGGCGAGCACTGCCACTAATAGCGTTGCCAATAGCGGCCCGCTCGCACCACCGCCCGCTGCTGCTGGTATTGGTGGCTCTGCAGCAGGCGCAGGTGCTGCTGGTGCTGCTGGTGCTGCTGGTGCTGCTGGTGCTGCTGGTGCTGGTACTGGCGCTGTTGGTGCTGCTGGTGGTGCTGCTGCTGGCGCTGCTGCGGGTGGTGGTATGCATGGAGCATCATCAACGTTCTCCCTGGCAGGCTCTGCATCTAGCAACCAGGGTCCCACCAGCCACGCCAGCCACATGAGTCACAGCAGCAGCATAACCAGCAGCAGCACGCTCTCCCTCTCCCGCCGCAACAGCTCCGCCTCCTTCGGGTCCGGCCAGCTGGAAATGCTGCTGGCAAGCGGCATAGACCTCGCCCACGACCTCCCTCCCCGCCCACACTGGCTCCGGGGCAGTGGAGGAAGCGGAGGGAGTGGGTTGCAGAGAGGCGTGTCGTCTGTGGCAGCGCTCATGTCCGGTGAACTCATGGATGCTTCTCCCCGTCGCACCAGCTCCATGTCGTCTCGCTCGCCACCTCGCACGTTGGTCTCCCCTCCTCGCGCGTTGCTGCCCATCCCACGCCTGTCCTCCACTCCCCATGCCCCGCCGGCTGTGCCTGCGCGCGCGGGTCATTTTGCCCCCGTGCCGTCTGGTGGAGGATACCCCCCGCCGCCCCGCCGCCTCATGACTGCTCTGTCCACGCCTCTTGACTTTGCTGCTGCTCTTGGCCTTGCTGTACCTCCGGCCCCTGCTGCTGCTGCTGCTGCTGGTGGTGGTATGGGCATGGGTGCCCCTGTTGGTGGTGCTGGTGCTGGTGCTGGTGCTGCTGGTGCTGCTGGTGGTGCTGCTGCTGCACTTGCAGCTGCCTTCCCTGCCCCCACCTCCCTCCCGCTCTCCCTGCTTCCCCCTATCCCTCACTCTGCTACCTCCACCACCCCATTCACCACCACGGCCAACACCAGCGGGAACAGTATGGGCGTGGGTATGGGAATGGGCATGGGGATGGGGGGGATGGCTCCGCGCTGCTTTTCGGAAGATACGCCGTACTCGGACGGATCCTCCTCCTCCGCCGCTGCTGCTCTCTCCTCCTCCGCAGCACGCTGCCCCCCCACGTCCCTCGCTCGCACCATGTCCAGTGCTGCCGCTATCAGAGCACAGCTCGGCGCCACCCTCGCTGCTGCCACTGCAACCCGCGAAGCCGCCGCTGCTGCTGCCGCTGCCGCCGCCGCTGCAGCAGCAGGAGGAGGGGGAGGAGGGGGTGGTGGTGGAGGAGGAGGGGTTGGAGGGGGGTTTGGGGAGAGCAGGGCGAGGGGAGTGGGGCCGAGTGCGAGTATGAGCAGGGAGGGCAGCGGGAACATGCTTCGCCCGGCGACCCACGCTGGGCTATCAGGCCGGCCGCCGTTGGGGAGGCTACCAGCGCCGGGGTTGAGTCCGCTGGGGCAGCGTATAAGTGCGTCGTTCAATGTGCGTATGGTGGCTGCTGGGGTCAACGCTGCCGTTGAAGCTGTTAATGCAAGCGGTTCCAGGAATCCTGGTGGTGGTGGTGGTGGTGGTGGTGGTGGTGGTGGTGGTGGTGGTGGTGGTGGTGGTGGTGGTGCTGCTGCTGCTGCTGCTGCTGGTGGTGGTGGTGTTGGTGGTGCTGGTGGTGGGTATGGTGGGTTTGGTGTGGTGGGTGGTGCGAGAACTGGAGGTGAAGTAGCAGCGGGTACTGGCTTGAGTGGTGGTGGTGGTGGGGGCGGCGGTGATGACGGCGACTGCTGGTGGTGGTGGTGGTGCTGCTGCTGCTGCTGTGCCAGCTCCTGCCATCAAGTATTTGAGTGCTGCTGATCTGGCTAATTCTTCTTCTGATGATGATGATGATGATGATGATGATGATGATGATGATGATGATGATGATGATGATGATGATGATGATGATGATGATGATGATGATGATGATGATGATGATGATGATGATGATGATGATGATGATGATGATGATGATGATGATGATGATGATGATGATGATGATGATGATGATGATGGTGATGATAATGATGTTGCTGGTGCTGGTGCTGCTGGTGCTGCTGGTGCTGCTGGTGCTGCTGGGCGGATGGGGATGCTACAGCGGGCAGAGGGGTCAGCACGGGATGCAGCACGGGGGGTGAGCGAAGTCATGGGGGAAATAGGCCAGACTAAGGTCAGGGCGGAAGCAACAAGAGGGGGGGAGAGCAAGGAGAGAGGCGGCGGCAGCGAGGGAGAGAGAGGAGAAAGAGCAAAAGAGGTGGTACGGCCATCAGTGCGAGATGCTGTGCGGCATTTTGAGGAAGCGGTGAGGACGACTGTGGGCAGCAGCAGCATCAGCAGCGGCGGTAGCAGTTCCTTTGGTGCTGCGAATGGAGGGAGTGCTCGCAGACCTAGCAGTAGTGGCGGCATTGGTGCTGGCAGTGGGAGGTTTGGCAGCGGCAGGGGGAGTGTGGGGGGTTTGTCGGCAAGGGGTGGAGAGATGGGCGGTGGTAGAGAGGAATTCGGAGGGGTTGAGAGGGAGTCCGTGGGTGTGGAAGAGGGGGGGATGAGGAGACCGAGGACGAGTGAGGGATGGGCGGAAAGAAGCCGAGTGGAGACAGAGGAAGGGGGGGCGCCGTGGATGGGAGGCGGTGAGAGGGGGTCGAGAAGGGTGCTTAGGGGTTCTGCAGATGGGCTGGATGCAGACAGTCGCACAGAGAGGGGGGGGTTGGAGGATGGTGTAATGAGGCATGGGGATACGGGCGCTGAGATTCTGGAGGTGAGGCGGGTAGGTGGCACGGAGGGGGGGTCGCGGCGGGATCAGTTTGGCTCTGATGGGGACGTTGGGGCGGAAGTAAGATTTGACTCTCGTGCTTTGATGCAGAGTGGTCCCCGCACGCTGCAGCGGCAGCAACTGCCAGGGTTTAGGGAAGAGCTGGGAGGACGGGTAGGGGGAGGGGGAGGAGGAGGCAGGATTGGAGGGAGTTTCAGTGAGAGGAGCACTGGTGGAGGGAGCTTCAGGGAACGAGGTGGGGTTGGAACAGTGGGAGGGAGCTTTAGGGAAAGAGTTGGAGTTGGAGGGAGCTTCAAGGAGGGGGAAGGACAGGAGGGAAGCTTTAGGAAGAGAGTAGAAATTGGTGGGAGTTTCAGGGAGAGAGCTATGAGGAGTTTCAGAGAGAGAACGGCAAGCTTTAGAGAAAGGGAGGCGAGATTAAGAGAATTTGAAAGTGGCAAGAGCAGCGGCAGGGAAGACGGGGAAGTGGAAACGGAGCAAATAAACAGTGGGTATCACGAAAATGATCCAGCTGCCAAGGATAGCAGGAGCCATTTCAGTTCCTGGGGAGGGAGTGATAAGATCAGTAACTACCGAGTTGATTCTGCGGTTGATGGCTCTGCTGCTGCACTGGATGATCTGGCTGCTGCGGCCGCTGATGCTGCATTTGGTCCTGCTGCTGATGATGATCGTGATCCCGTACCAGGACTATTCTCCGACAGCAATGGTGTAAATAATGTGACGACGAGACGACTGTCTTTCGAGCGGAGCCCGAGGTCATCGCCGCGAGTGGGAGTAGCAGAGGTGGGAGTAGCAGAGGTGGGAGGAGCAGAGGTGGGAGGGGGAATTGGTGGGGTGATAGGAGCGGGTGAGGAGGGATTGGTGAGTCTGGAACGGCTTCCAGAGCTGACTGCTGCTGCTGCTGCTGCTGCAGCTGAGGGTGTAGGGAAGGGGAAGAAGGTGCGGAAGGTGGTGAAGGGAGCAGCAGGTAGTGGCAAGGGATTGACTGGGAAGGTTAAAGGGGTGAAGGGGGGAAAGAAAGGGAAGGATGATTCTGTGGGGAAAGCAAAGGGCAAGGGATTGGGTAAGGGGGTGGGGAAAAGAGCAGCAGTGGGAGATGAATGTGGGGAGGGGGTGGACGGAGCGAGTGGGTGCAAAGCGGTCAAGAAGGGTGCGGGTGTTTTGAAGAAAGTGGGGAGCAAAAGGGTGGGGAAGAAGAAGGGCAGGGATGGAGTGGGAAGTGAGGCAGAAGGGGAGGGTTTACCTGGTGAGGGGGTGACCCTGATGGGCAAGTCAGAGGGTAAGGCGGGCAAGATAGGGAAGGGGGGGATAGTGAAGAAGAAGTGTGTAAAGGCTGGGGAAAGTAGCAAGCCAGATTCTGCAGTAAAGACGAGTAGGGGTGGCAAAGCAGGAAAGGCAAGGTTGGGAGAGGGGGCAGAGGAGGCAGGGGAAGCAGAAAAGGTGGGGAAAGCAGGAAGGAAGGTGGTGAGGAAGAGAAAGGGAGTGAGTGCTGCGGTGGAAGGTGCGGGCGCCATGGATAATAACCATGCACTTGCTGCTGCTGCCGCTGCTGCTACTACTACTGCTATGGCTCTCACACCACCTGCTGCTGCTGCTGGTGCTGCTGTTGCTGCTACCGGCTCTGGTGGTGGTGCAAGGGATGTTGGTCAAGGCGATGACAGGGAATGCAGTGTGAGGGTTGAGGAGAGGCAAGGCACAGTAACAGTTGGAGAGCGGAAGCCGGCAGGGTTTGTGTTGGACGATGGGAAGAGTGCAGCAGGGGTGTTAGTGCAAGCCAATGTGACGGCCCCTGAAACTCCTCGACTAACAGCAGCAGCAAAACCAAAATCGTCAGCAGCAGCATCACCACCATTGGACTTACCAGCAGCTGCAACGGAACCAAAATCGCCCACAGCAGCAGCAGCAGCAGCAGCAAAATCACCAGGGACAACATCAACATCAGCAGCAGCGGCATTGTCAGCATCACCAGTGACAGCAGCAGCCACCGTACCAAATAAAGACAGACTACGAGCAGTAGCAGCAGCAGCGGCGGCATCAGCAACAGCAGCAGCAGTGGCAGCAGCAGGCGCGGGAGTGCGTTTGAGCCTTGACAATGGCAAGCCCATCGACACTCCTGTTCTGCGCTTTGTCAACACCTCCTCCTCTCGCTCCATGTTCAAGAGCCAGTCTGCCTCCTCCATCCCGCTCTCCTCACAACTCACTGCTGCCGCTGCCCTCGCTTCCACCTCCACTCTCACCCCCCGTGCCGCCGCCGCCGCCGCCGCACCAGCCCCCTCCACCTCCTCCTCCTCCTCCTCCTCCTCCTCCTCCGCCTCGCTCGCGATCCCCTCCCCGAAAACACACCCTCCCACTGCGCCGTCAACCCCACAACGCACGGCACCACCCCCTCGCAGCCCCACAGGCCGAGGGCAGCAGCAGCTGAACGGGAAGCCCCTGAGTAGCCTGCGGCTGGGGGGGTACTGTGTTCTGCTGGCTGAAGATACAATGGTGATGCGACGCCTGGCCACAATGATGCTGGAAAAGATGGGAGCAGCGGTGGTTGCAGTGGAAGACGGGCAGGCAGCGACCGAAGCTGTGGTGGAGAGGGAAAAGCAGGTGGCGGCAGGGAGTGCAGAGCCGTTTGATGCGGTGATTATGGATTGTCAGATGCCGAGGATGGATGGGTACGGGGCGACGAGGTGGATTAGAGCGCGGGAGAAGGAGGTGGGGGATGGGAGGCATTTGCCGGTGGTGGCGCTGACGGCGCATGCGATGGCGAGTGATCGGGAGCATTGCTTGGCGTCGGGCATGGATGAGTATTTGACCAAGCCGGCGAATGCGGCGCAGCTGGTGGCGACGCTGCATAAGCTGGTGAAGAAGGTGCCTTCGTGAGAGACCTTTTGAGTTGTCACCAACGAGGAAGGCGTCTCAAAGAGTTGTCCTAGTACTGGCGAAGCTGCGGAAGGAAGGAAGGACGGAGCCTTTGTGAGAGGGAGGAACAATGTGCTTTCGGATGTGCAGGGACGTTGAGGCTCCTTCTATGGCAGAGTGGGTTTCAGTGGCGCTGGCTGCTTGGTGCAGCTGATTGGCGAATTTCATCAGGAGCAACGCGGTGTTTGATGTGGCAACGTCGCAATGAGGTTCGTGGTTTGGTGAATGTCGTGCTGTTTTCTCTTTCATCCAGCTTTGCAATGTTCACTGACTGATGTGGAATATTGTGTCTTCATGACACCTCCCATTCTCTCATGTCTTATGGTCTATGCCCAATAGTTTCTCCTCCCATTGTCCGAACATCACAACCTTAAGTTTCCGAAGTGTGTCATGCATTTTCATTCATCCCCTCCATTTGTCCCCTTTCAGCTTGAAAGCAGCAACAAACCAGGACTTAAAAACCACCATTGCTGCAAGCGGTGTGGGGCACAGGTGCGAGCTACGCACATTGGACATTCATGTACTGCTACAAAAATGTATTGCCGACACGCATGTTTTAGCATTCATCTTCTTTACAACCTTTATGCACAGCACAAGCAACCTAAACGAGAACAATTTCATAAGATGCAGCAAGTGGAAGAACCAACGTGTGCGAGCGATGACCGCTCCTATCGCCAGTATCAGCTGCTACTGGGCAATGGAAAGGCTGAACCCAAACCTAGTGGCACCAATGCCCTTGTCCCTCTGGTCCCCTCCCTGCGGCTGCTGCTGCTGCCCTGCACCACCGTTGTTGAATGCCTTGCTGGTATCCACCTCTGCTGTCATACTCAGCGTCGCCCCCCCTCCCAGCGTGTGCTGCATCAGCAGCACATTGCACAGGCAAAGCATGGCAAGGCAAGGGACAGTTGGTTCACTATGATGACCACCATCCAGCACAGCATTATGTAACGCAGCGACAACTCCACCCGCACCCACAACCCCAACCCTGTCATCCCCGCCCCACTCACACCCAGCAGCAAACCCCTTTCACCTGCAAGTCTCGCCTGCCTCTCTCACTTGCCCCCATCTTCTCCTCACGCTCACCTGCAAGCCTGCCCTACCCCCCTCTTCTGATTCTCACCTGCAGCCAGCCGTGAAAGAGCCCGTTGCTGTTGAACTTCCCCTTGAGCTGCGTCTTGTCGTCCACCTGGTACTTGAGGGCATACGCCACGTTGTCCTTGCTCGAGTCCTTGAGTGCGCGCTGCAGGTACAGCCCCACCGCCAGCTTCTCGTCCACGTCCTGCGCGTACTGCAGATGCACCACGTCCCGGACCTGCATGTCGAGATAGGCAGCTGCAGACATGCGCCCATGCGCCATGCCTATGCCTGCGCGATCAAGGGAGTGGGATGGGAGGAGATGGAAGAGGCGGAATGCGGGGAGGATCTACGGCGAAAGCCATCTACGGTGCGGTATCAGTGCGGGGAACAGAGGCGGGAGTCAACATGTTGTTGGACACGGGTTGGAAAGTCCGAATCTGGGTAAACCACAAACCCTGTAGGTGTCAGTGATAGACACTGTTGAGTCAAATCATGTCACCTGCATTGGACTTGATCAGGTTCTGGGAAGCCGTATCATACGCCACCTCGCCACCCACGCACACACCGCCACCAACACCACCCAGGGCCAGGCTGCTAGTGAGAACAGGTTGCGTGCTGAACGTAGTCCCGGCCGACGCCGCCGAGTACTGCGTGCGGTGTGTGAGAGTCACGCCGTGCGGCAGGCTTGGAGCGGTGCTGGTGGCCACGGGCGGACCGAGGGAGATGGTGGAGGCAGCTGCGCGGGGAGGGAACTCTGCTGCCACTGTCGCTGCCAGCCCGCGCGCCATCTCCGGGATTTTGACGCTCGTCTGCACGGCGTGGTAGCGGTCGGGTGGGAGAAGAGGGATATCTGTTTGAGAACCCGTGGAACCCACCATAGCAGGAGCGCTTGTGTAAATCATTCAATTTCTGTAGCGCCAAAAGAATCAAACAAACCCTTTGCGACAGTATCAGCATCTACATCCACATGTACATGCACGTGCAGAATGTACTAGACCCCAGGCCCAATGAATTCACATCCAGCAGGCTTAGCAGCAAATCACAGCACCGTACAGGCACGAGAAGGCGAATCTCACCGTGATCTGCCCAAGAGAGCTCGCGGAAACCTGGCACACCGTGTCCCCCGGCAGCGGAACCGTGGCGGTGACAAGTCCCATCACGAGCTGCTGCACTTTGGTCACCATGGTCGTCAGCGACACGCTGCCAGGCGCCACCGCGGAGAGCGCCACGACTTGCGCCGTGGAGAAGCCCTTGCTGAAGAGGTCCTTGGACGCCTGCCCCATCTCGCTGAACATCACCGCGGATGGCGCCGACGGCGACGCGGCGCCCGCACCGCCGCCGGTGCTCGCGGCGGGCTTGGCTTTCCCTGTGCTGCTGCTGGTTGCTGTCTTGCTCCTGGCGGCTCCTGTGTGGGATTCGCCGCCGGCGCTCTCTCCTCGGCCCCACCACTTGGATGAGGATCCATTCGTCGCTCCGCCTCCTCCTCCTCCCGCCGCTGTCGAAGGGGCAGACGGCTGGGTCGTTACTACCGCCACTGGGGACCTCCGGTGTGTCTCGGAATCCATGATGATTTCCGCTGACAGAGTGGATCGGCGATGCTGCGGGTGTAAATCTGAGGGCAGAGCGCTCACAGTGCTGCTGGATTCACGAAGCGTGTTGGGTCGGCAGGGAAAAGGAAGGACGCCCCCTTTGCGCTTGGGAACGAGAAGAGACCCGACGGAAGTGCAAACCCCTAGTCTTGAGCAGTAGGCGCGAGAAGGCAAAAGGTTGGGAATTCCATGTTGCTGCAGAAATTCCAGTCGAACCCCACGAGGAATTCTGGGGCGACCCGCTGCGCGAAAGAAGCCGAAGCGGGCACGAAGCGAAGGGAAGTGAAGGCGAAATGCAGTGGCGATAACGTTCGCCAGGTGGACGAAAAGCACATGCACCTGTGTGGCATGTACACGTGTCGAGTCTGTCCTCTTCGAGTGTACTCTTTATACTCCCACCCGGGACAGCTTATAATTCTGACAGCCTAACTCGATCAATCAATCTGTGTAGCTGGCACTGCTGATAAAAAAAAATTTACATTCCTCCCTAGTTGACATGTCGTGATACCAAGTCAAATAATACCCGTTTATTTTATGTATTACTGCATACATCCAATTCTGGTGTTGAACTCGAGAATGAGTAATTTTTGTCTCTCATCTGAATAAATAACATTTGTAGTCTAGTTCAATGAATAACATTATCAGCACACTTTCTATGATGTTCCCCCTTTCTCGCCAACCTGCTTGATGACTACAAACTGAACGAGGGTTTCCAGGTGGAGTTGCTCCTCTTCAGCGTTCAATCTGTACAAGTTTTTGTTCAGTTGCCCAAGCTTCTGATTCAAATCATACTCTCGAGTTATGTGCGAGGAAAAACATGGGCTTTCAGCCAGAATCTGTGTTGCGGAGCACATCATCCTTTCGTTTCAGCTGTCCGTTTCATTCCGCACACCCCTAAAACATTCGAAGGTTGTTGCCAGTGGCCAACTTTGTTCAGGGAGGTAAAGGTAAAGGAGGGGGGGAAACCCCTCTGGGTGTTACCCACACCTGGCTGTCGGTCGTAACCCGCCTCCCCATTTGTTTACACTCCTCGCTGGGTCAACGAGGTTGTTCTATCCACTCCCAGATGAGCACCTGTGTAGCCCCTTTTGGGGGCTGGCAGAATACGCCGCAGGGGGGATTTGATCCCGGGACCTCATCTTTCGGAAGTGAACCAGTACTCGCTGGGCCACTTCAGGATAACTTTGTTCAGGGAGGACTTTCAAGGGGCCAGTGGATGATGATGAAGCAGCTCCTTTCTGGTTGGAAACGACATTTTAGGATGGGAAGGAACGCCTAGCTGACTAAATCGGGGGCTCGGCCCTGGGCAGACCGGTCACCAGACCAAGTGGCTGGAGTGACGATGACCCAAGTGGCACACATCACCATCCGCGTCAGGTCAGGATTCCAGTCGACTCATCACCCCCCATCCAACCTCAGTCGAGTGACAATACCGGTGGAACAAGTGGGCTTCAGACGAAACAAAATTGCGAAACATTCAAGCTGCCCGAGTCTGGACTCTGGACCTAACCGAAACCACGGTCTGAGGGGACAGACAGACAGCCAAGCCAGCACAACAGGGGAAAAGGAAAACATTTTTCCAAGCAAACCAACAAAGACGAACTCAGCAGTTTGCAATGGTTGAACTCAGCGCTCCGTATTATCGCTCGAACGAAGTTCAGTCAACGGGGGAGGTTTGCGGCTGCCGTTCAGGTCAGTGGCTCAACTTGTGTCTAGTTCTTCATTGGCAGCAAGTCAACTCCTAATCGGCACATTTCGCCATCGTTGTTCAGGTAGGGAATTCTGGAACAATGCGTCGTACGACCACTCATCATCAGTCATCTTGCGCTCGCATCCGCACCAAAATACCCATCTTGTTAGGGCGACACCGGCAGCGGAGACTTTCCGTAGAAGCACATCCTCCTCCCCGAGCAGTATTTTTCGGCAATGGAATCAGCGCAGATCCCGCTATCTCCGTCACACTTTCTCTCTCCGTCTCCCGGGGCATACCTGTGGCCGGTAAGCCCCCCCGCGTTAGTGTTCGGTACTAGCTCACCGCAATTGGGAGTTCAAGGGGGTCAACAGCAGCGTCAAACGCAGTCGCAGCAGCAGCAGCACAACGAGCAGCGTCAGAGGCCGAGGGAAGCGAGGCAAGCGCACAGAGCGGAGAAGCAGAGCCTTGGGAAAAGCGCAGAGCCTCCGGAAACCGGAAACGCAAGATGCTCGGATGTTGTGTTGATGTGTGAGATGCAAGGTGGTTCCAGGAGCACCGCCGGAAATTCTTCGGTTTGCGCCGAACCGAGCGGGATGACGGCGGAGCCCAGTAGCGGAAACCGAAGCCTCTCCACTGACCGCCAGCGCGGGCGGAAAGTGCGCGGAGGCGGGAAGGCGGAGGGGGATAGGTCCCGGGCGGGGTCAAGCGCAAGGTTGGTAGCGGGCGGCACAGGTGTGGTGCGGCGCGCGGAGGAGTATTTAAGAACCGCAGACTCCGCGGAACGCACGACCTCATCGTCCCCGTCAACCACCGTCAGAGCGTCTGTCAGTAACCCGAGATCGCGAGCGCCTGGCGCGTCGCGGCATAACCGGGGGGGTGCGGCTCCAGGCTCAGGAGCTGGTGCGAGCCGTGTAGGGAAAAGCGTAGGGGGTAGCGCAAGGGGTAGCGCAGGGGGTAGCGCAGGGGGTAGCGCAGGGGGGAGCGCAGGAGGAAGCGCAGACGGGGGATCGGGGGCGAGAGACGGGTCGGAACCTCTTGGGATGGGTGTGCGGTACGTTCAGATGCTGAAGAGCGGAGACGACAGCGAGGCTGATTCGAAAATTGTACCCGCTAGTAGCTCCGCTGCCGTGATCGGCTCGATCCCCGCTAATGACAGTTCCGTGTCTCGTCGCAGAGAGCGGCGCGGAGTCGTCTCTCGGCGGCGGTCGCCTGAGTCGGGTGATTCGAGATCGGAAGGATCCATCGCTGCTGCGGCGGCTGCTTCGGCGGCTGCTGCGGCGGCTACTGCGGCGGCTGCGGCGGCTACGGCAGCCGTTACTGCAGTACGCGACGACGATGGCGACGACGATGGCGATGGCCACAATGGCGATGCGAGACTAGGGTTTCGTGACTCGTCATTGGCCGGCGAGTTCCTAACCAGAAGTTTAGATAGTCATCCGCGCAGAAGGTTCGGCGGGATTAGGGAGGATAAAATTACAAGTGAGCATGGCGCTTCATCAAGAGGCGGCGGCGGTGGCGCCGCGGATGCCTCCCGGCCACAGGGCGGGAGCAGCCAGCGGGACGGGCGGGTGTTGCGGAAGGACCTGTCGGCGCAAGCGCAAGCGCAGACGCAAGCGCAGGGGCAGGGGCAGGCGCAACAGGGTAGCACATGGAGCAGCTTTAGCAGAAGCAGCCTGGGCAGCATGAGCTTTGGGAGCAGCTACGGCGGCGGCAGTTTCGGCAGCAGCAGCAACTGCAGCACCAACACGAGCGCGAGCAGCAATAGCGGCAACAGCATCAGCTGCAGCACAGCGCATTCCCTGGGGCGTGGGTCGAAAATAATGGCCCCGTGCGGCGGCGGCGGCGGCGGAAGCGGAGGCGGCGATGGCGGCAGCAGTCCGGGTATCTCCAGTCCCGCGCAGAGGTCCCCGCAGCCCTCCCCCTCTAGGCTACGCCAGCACCAGGGCGTAGTTCCGCCAGATTTCCGCCCCAGGTCTCCCCTCCTCAGCGCCGCGATTGCTTGCCCTAAATCCCCGTTATTGGCTTCCTCGGAACCTCGCGCGGGGTCGCCTTCCGCGCCGTTCAGCCCCGTTAGGGAGGAGCTCGCAAGGTCCCCCGTTCCGGGCCCCGCTGATCACCGCCTCAAATCGCCTCTCTCGCGCGGATCCTCCGCGTTCCGCTCCCCATCCGCACAGACTGGCCCCTCCGCCTTCCGCCCGCAATCCCCTTCCCCCAATCCTTCCCTTTCCGCACGCCTGTCGCGCCCTGTTTCTCCTCTCCCTGGGCCTCTTCGTCCGCGATCTCCCCTTCCCGGGTCCGCCCGCCCCCTATCCCCGCTGCTTGGTTCCGCCCGAGCTACATCTCCGCTCCCCTTCATCTCTCCGCGCAACTCCGAGTTCGCATCGGCGCGAAACTCCCCCGCCGCCGCTCCTGCTGCTGGTGCAGCTAGCGCAGGCACCCGCCCGACCCGCGGATCCCTTAGGACTATCCCGCGCAGCAGAAGCTGCCGCAGCGCCAGCAGCTGCGCGCAGGACGACTGGAGCGACTCTGGCGCGGAGGAAGAGATTCGCGCTTCCGCTTCCCCCGGTGCGCTTTTTCTTGCGCGTCCTGGCGCCCGTTCCGCCGTCCGCCCCACCCCGTCCGCCTCCGCGTGGGATTCCGTGCAGCCCGCGCCGTCGAGTGTCAGTCCCGCCCATCTCAGCGGTTTCACTGGCCCCAGCAATAGCCGCAGCATCAGCAGTCGCAGTAGCGCCAACACCTGCGCTCAAACACCTCCGCCAACCACCTCCGCGCGCTGCCCATCCCCATTGCGGCGCGCGTCAAGCTCCGCATCCGCGCTATCTTCCCCTTCCGCGCCGTCACGTTCCCCTTACAGCGCCCCCCAGGCGCAGGGTCGGGGGCCCGCGAACGGGGGAGACGAGAGGGCGACGGGGGACCCGGAGCGGACGTATTCCGGGGAAGACGAGCACGAGGGGGGGAGTGGGGGAGTGCGCGCGAATCTGTCCGCGGACTGCGGGAGGCGGGGGCGACTGGCCGCCGCTGCTGCAGCAGCACGGGCGGAAGTGGCGCATGGGATAGAGAGCGCGAGGCGAAGGGGGAACGGCGCGGAGACGCGCACAGGCGGGGGCATGGGCGGTGGCGGGGGAATGGCAGCAGGGGCGGGAGCAGGGGCGGGTGCAGGGGCGGGAGCAGGGGCAGGAGCAGGGGGGGGCTTGGGAGCGGGAGGGGCTGCGTGTGGGAAGGTGGCAGAGAGATGCAAAGGGGCGAGGGGTGCAGCAGGTGTAACAGGCGGTGGGGTGACGGACGTGGGGTCTCCTGGGGGTGGGCGTGGTGGTGGTGCTAGTGGTGGCGTGATTGGTGGTGTGAGTGGTGGGGGCCAGCAGCGCAGCAGGAGTTCACTGGGACTTGTTCCGCGCATGTCACGCTCTCTCACCACCACCTCTGCTTCCTTCTCTGCCGCTCGCTTCCGTGCTGCTGCCGCTGCTGCTCGTGCCGCCGCTGCTGCTCGTGCTTCTCCTGCTGCCGCTACCACCACCACCGCCGCTGCTGCTGCTGCTGCTGCTGCGTCCTTCTTCTCTCCCCATCTCTCGCTCGCTTCTTCCCCAATACGGTCAGGAACCCTTGGCTCTGCCTCTGCCTCTGCCTTGGCCTCTGCCTCGGCCTCTGCTGGGAGAAAGCCGCTGCACAAGCGAACCATGTCCATGGGCAATCCGCTCGCAGGTCGGTTCCACACGGTGGAGTCCGTTCTGGGGGTGCACGCCACGTGGCAAACGGAGGAGGAGCAGCTGAGAGCGCTGCTGGCGCTGGTGGACGGCGGGAGCGGGGGAGGAGGGGCGCAGGGGGAGGCGGAGGGGGAAGGGGAAAGGGGGGAGCGGGGGGAAAGGCGTGGGGGAGCGGCGGGGGGTTTGGGGGAAGGGCATGAGGCGGGTCTGGCAGCGCAGGATGAGGTGCTGATGAGGCGACTACCGTCGGCAGCTGAAGTGATGGAAGGCGGCGGGAGAGGAGGAGGGGAGAGGGAGATGGGCCGGGAGAGGGAGATGGGGAGAGGAAAAGGACAGGGGGTAGGGGGGGAGGTGAGAGTTGGGGGCAGTAGGGAACACCAGGAAGGCAGTGTGGAGCAGGGACGTCGGGATGTGGGATCAGGTGTGCAAGCATCCCCGTTAAGGAGAAACCCGAGTTTGCCTAAGACGACAGGAGGAGAGCAGGTGGTGGGGTCGCCTGTACAGTTGTCGTCTCCTTTGCAGGTGCGGGCGTCGCCAGGCGCGAGGCGTGCAGATGGGTGGGACGCCTGGAAGAGCGGTGTGGGGCGGTACTGGGTGGGGGAGGTTTTGGGGGAGGAGTTGGAAAGGGGGAAGACTCCTGAGAGGAAGGTGGGGGGGTCAGGAAGGGTGAGAACACCAGAGAGGGTGGGGATGGGAGGAGGGGGAGTTAGAGCACCTGAGTGGGCACGAGGGGGAGAGAGGCTGAAGACACCTGAGAGGGGAAAAACACCTGATAGAGGAAAAACGCCTGAGGGGGGAAAAACGCCTGAGAGGGGAAGGACACCTGACAGATTGAGATTGGCGGAAAGGGTTGCGCCAGAAAGAGCAGCAGGAGCAGGAGCAGGAGCAGCAGCAGGAGCAGGAGCAGGAGCAGGAGCAGGAGCAGCAGCAGGAACATCAGAGGCTGTGGGTATAGAGGCTATGCTTTTAAGGATAGCAGGAGGTGCAGACGGGTGCAGTGAGTATGCGGGTCGTGCAGGGACGGGCACGGTGGGCGCGTGCAAGGAGCATGGGAGCGGGTGCAGTGGGGTGCTTCAACCCCATGGCGCTGCCCTACCCTCTCAGAGGACAGACCCAGCAGCCTTGCTATCTTCTGCTGGTGCTGGTGCTGGTGCTGGTGGTGGTGGTGGTGCTGGTGGTGGTGGTGCTGAGAGGGGTTCTGAGAGGGAGGTGGGAGAGGGGGAGGCGGAGATAGAGGCGGAGTGTGATGCGGTGTCGGGGGGGTGGACGTGGCAGCATGGTGGGTGGAGCGAGCGGTATGGTGGGGCGGGCACACATTTTCCTCATGCTCACAATGCGGATGATACTCGTGATACTCGTGATACTCGTGATGCTCGTGATACTCGTGATACTCGTGATACTCGTGATGCTCGTGATGCTCGTGATGCTCGTGATTCCCCACCTGCTGCTGGAGGCCCCGTGAGGTCCTCCTCTGATCTCGTATATGTGCAGTTTGGCCTGCACGACCCCGATAGAGAAAAGGAGGGGGGGGAGCATGAGGAGTGGGGCCATGCACATGCACATGGGCATGGGCATGGGCATGGGCATGGGTATGGGCATGGGTACGATGATGGTGAGGAGTGCATGTACGATCATGGGGATGGGGATGATTGCAGCGTGGAAAACGAGCATGCACATGGGCATGCACATGGGCATGGGCTTCCGCATATGGACGGGTTTCGGCTCGGGAGTGATGGGTGCATGTGCATGGGCATGGGCATGGGCATGGGCATGGGCATGGGCATGAGCATGGTCATGGGAGTGGGGATGGGTGTTCAGACGGGCATGAGGATGCGGACGCGGGGTTATGGCATACGGAGCTTGCATCTGAGGATTCAGAGTCAGGGGGCGGGTTAAGGCATGGATGTGCGTGCGGGTATGCGCATGGGTATGGGCTTGGATATGGTCGGGTGGAGGATTATGAGGTAGAGCTTGTGGATCATGAGGAGGAGGAGGAAGAGGAGGAGGATGCAGGGTACATGTATCATGGGGAGGCGGAGACAGGGAGCATGTGTTATGAGGAGGAAGAGGGTTCCGTGTGTGTGTATCATGCGGTGGAAGAGGAGGACGATGCAGTGGGTATGCATCACGAGGAGGAAACTTCTGATTACACGGAGGAGACTGGGAGCGTGGGAGATAGACATGGGGACGAGGACGGGGAGGAGGCGGAGGCGGCGGAGGAGGGGGACGAGGATGAGGAGGGAGACGTTAGCAGGGGGCGGAGGAACGGGGAGGAGAGAAGGGAAGGTGAAGAAGAGGGGAGAGTGGAGGGAGGTGGAGGAGTGGAGGGGCAGCCTGAGCTAGGGAAGAAGAGTCTGAGTGCTCCTGCTGGGTCCATGGCTGCTTCTGCCTCTGCTTCCGTGATTGCTGTGGGGCTTCAGCAGGTTGGCGAGGAAGGGGGTTGGGTGGAGAGTGCAGGGGACGCAGCAGGGGGACAAGGGGTGGAGATGGGCAGGAGACGGGTGGTGAGGAGGGGAGAGGAGGAAGAGGAAGAGGAGGAGGAGGAGGAGGAAGAGGAAGAGGAGGAGGAGCCGGAATTGTTGCGGCGGAAGAGCTTTGGCGGGCGGATGGGTGCCAGCTTTGGCGCGCTGCTGAGGAAGAGCAGTGAGTTTTGGTCCCCTCCTTGGTGCTTCTTCCTGCTCCTTTGAGGCTTCCTCTGAAACGCACACGGCGCACAGCACACATCACACCCATCACCACATCACTGAAGGCTGAAGCTGACCACATGCCTCCCTCTCTCACTTGCTCCTACTCCAACTAGTGCCTTTTCTTCCATGCTTCTATGCATCTATCTACCCGTCCTCTCCTCTCCAACTACCACAATATCACTCTCACCCTCTCTGGCCACATTGCTCTTCTCCCCCTTCTGGCCACATTGCTCCTTCCACTGAACACGCACCCCTATCTCCCTCTTCTCTGCGCTCCCTCTCCGCTCTTCTGTGCAAGACCCCCTTATTGGCCCTCTCACCCAATTCCCCTCTCTCCACCCCCCACTCCCTCCCCTCCCCCTCCTCCTCCCCCCACCACCAGACATGCTATCCAAGATGGGCCGCAAGCCGCCCCGACGTCCCAAAAGCCTCTCTTCCCACTCTCCCTTCTCTCTCCCCTCCCCCCTCTCCTCCCTCTCCCTCCCACCACCAGACACGCTATCCAAGATGGACCGCAAGCCGCCGCGCCCCTTCCTCGCCGCGCGCACCCCCCCGCTCCGCTCCCTCACCATCTCCCGCGCGGCCTCCGCGTCCCGCAAGGCCGCCTCCTCGGCGTCCGTCAAAGCCGCGTCCGCCATTGCACTCGCCACCACCGCCGTCACCAGCCTCGGCCGCTCCGCATCTCTCCCCTACGAATACGAGTACAACGGCATCAACCAGCCGAAACGCGTGCACTTCCAGCTATCAGAGCTTCAGCTAGCCACTAACTATTTCTCCAAGGAGAGTGTTCTCGGGCAGGGCGGGTTCGGGACGGTGTATGGGGGCGTGCTGCCGGCGCCGCCGTTTGAGGAGGTGGCGGTGAAGGTGCTGAAGAGAGGGTCGGTGCAGGGGGATGGGGAGTTTGTGACTGAGCTGGAGCTGCTGTCACGCACCGCCCACCGGCATCTTGTGAAGCTCATGGGGTTCTGCATGACCACTACGCAGCGCATGCTCGTTTACCAGCTCGTGGCCAATGGTTCCCTCACAGACCACCTCACAGGTATGTGTGGGGATGGGTGTGAATGAATGGGTTTGTGTAGGTGTGAGTGGGTGTGTGTGAAAAGGCGGGGGGGAGGGGGGGGGGTTGGGGTGGGCCTAGCCTTGTGAGTGCTCATCATTTTTTAGAAGTGCTATGCTGTTTAAGAAGAACTGCTGCATTGTCCTGCATGGCCAACTGCCATTGGCCTCCTCGTCTCTGCAGCACACACCTCCCACCATCCACACCTCTCAGATACACTCAGCCACTTCTCATCCTCCCTGGCCCCCCGTCCCCACACCCTCACTTTATTCTCCCACCTGCTGTCACACACGTCTGCATGCATCGTGGTGGTGCCATCGCAGGCAGCAAGCGCAGTGAGAATGGCCCTCTGCCATGGGAGCGCCGGCTGAGAATAGCCATAGGAGCCGCCAAGGGCATCCGCTACCTGCATGCCCAACGACCCCAGGTGCCTTGCCTTGCCTTGCTCCGTTTGCCTTTCCATTGCTCTCATCTCATCTCTTCCCCCTTCTCCCCTCCCCCCCCCCCCCGCCCCTCTCTCTCCCTCCCCATCTCGTTTCACCTCTTTTCTCCCTCCCCACAGCCTCCCCTCTGCCTCCGCTCTACTTCCCGCTACCTCTTCCCTACATCCCCTCTCCTTCCCCTCTTTAGGCCCACAAACAGCGTATTCCTCACTTCCTGCTGTTCTTTTCTGCCCTTCCACCAACCCCGTTTCTGCTGTTTTGTTTCGAAACTCCCCTCTGTCTTCCACCCTGCTGACTCCGGTCCCATTTCACCTCTCGCCTCTCCTATCTTCACCACTCTCAGCTTTTGAGTCGACTCAAAAGCTGACTCCGGTCCCATTTCACCTCTCGCCTCTCCTATCTTCACCACTCTCAGCTTTTGAGTCGACTCAAAAGCTGACTCCGGTCCCATTTCACCTCTCGCCTCTCCTATCTTCACCACTCTCAGCTTTTGAGTCGACTCAAAAGCTGACTCCGGTCCCATTTCACCTCTCGCCTCTCCTATCTTCACCACTCTCAGCTTTTGAGTCGACTCAAAAGCTGACTCCGGTCCCATTTCACCTCTCGCCTCTCCTATCTTCACCACTCTCAGCTTTTGAGTCGACTCAAAAGCTGACTCCGGTCCCATTTCACCTCTCGCCTCTCCTATCTTCACCACTCTCAGCTTTTGAGTCGACTCAAAAGCTGACTCCGGTCCCATTTCACCTCTCGCCTCTCCTATCTTCACCACTCTCAGCTTTTGAGTCGACTCAAAAGCTGACTCCGGTCCCATTTCACCTCTCGCCTCTCCTATCTTCACCACTCTCAGCTTTTGAGTCGACTCAAAAGCTGACTCCGGTCCCATTTCACCTCTCGCCTCTCCTATCTTCACCACTCTCAGCTTTTGAGTCGACTCAAAAGCTGACTCCGGTCCCATTTCACCTCTCGCCTCTCCTATCTTCACCACTCTCAGCTTTTGAGTCGACTCAAAAGCTGACTCCGGTCCCATTTCACCTCTCGCCTCTCCTATCTTCACCGCTCTCATCACCCTCCCTCTCCTCTTCCCTTTTCCCTCTTCTCTCCACTCCCCACGTTCCCTGCTCTCCCTGTTTCTTCTCGCCTTGTCGCCTTTCCCTGCCTCAGATCCTTCACAGGGACATCAAGGCCTCCAACATCCTTCTTACAAACAGCTTCGAGGCTAAGGTAAGGCACAGCCTCTTAAAGTTTTTTATTCTTGCAGCACCAACGGAGGGGAGGGAAGGGGAGGGGACAGGAGGGGACGTGAGGGGAGGAGGGGGGAGGGGGTGGGAAGGGACGGGAAGGGAGGTTTGCTGTCCTGGCGTTGCGAGTGACAGTCGTGTGACTGCCTGATGTGAGCATTGGGAGGAGTTTAAGGGTGTCCTGTCTCCCCACTCTCCCCACACTCCCCTATTCCCCCGCCCTTCCCTTCCCCCGCACTCCCTACCCTCCCAGGTGGCGGACTTTGGGTGTGCGAAGCTGATTCGGCGCACGGAGAGTGTGGTGAGCAAGGCGACGGGGCTGGCGGAAGAGCGGCTGGTGGAGTTTGTCGACCTGGGCGTCGGTACCATCGGCCACATGGCTCCTGAACTGCTGCTCGAAGGGGAGATCAGTGCTGCTTCTGACTGCTTCGGGTGAGTGACGCTGGGGGTGGGGGGGTTCGGTGGGTCGCTGTGTTGACTAGGAGTGTGGCAGTAGCATTATCGGCCACATGACGCCTGAGCTGCTGCTCGAAGGGGAGATCAGCGCTGCCTCTGACTGCTTCGGGTGGGTGAGGCTGCTGTGGAGGTTGGTTGTGAGGTTGGTGAGGTCACTTGCTTTCCTATACACCTCCGTCTCCTTCCCTCTCCCTCCCTCTCCTTCCCTCTCAATCCCTCTCCTTCCCTCTCCCTCCCTCTCCCTCCCTCTCCCTCCCTCTCCCTCCCTCTCCCTCCCTCTCCTGCCCTCTCGCTCACCGCCTCTCTCTCCCCATCCCTCGTCCTGTGAACCTCACTCCCCACCAGGTTCGGAGTGGTGCTGCTGCAGCTGCTGACAGGCAGAGAGCCCGTGGACGCGGACAGAAGGCCGCTCGTCAACTGGGTACGTGCGTCTGCATGCCTGCATGCCTGCCTGCCTGCCTGCCTGCCTGCCTGCCTGCCTGCCTGCCTGCCTGCCTGCCTGCCTGCCTGCCACCTGAGGTGTGATCCTGCTGTTGGGGGGGAAAATGGGACACGGGTTTTGGAGGGAATTGGGAAAGAGGTCGCGCCCGCCCGCCCATCCCCCTTTTCTCTCAAGCCGATGCACGTTCTTCTCCCTCCGCTCTCCCCCCCTCCAACCCACCCACTACAGGCGCAGCCGTATCTGGAGGAGCGGCGGTGGGGGAGCTGATAGAGCAAGTTCTCCTAGAATCGCACCCGCCCACTCATCCCCCGTTTCGCTCAAGCCCATTCCCTCGCCCTTTCTCCAACCCACCCACCACAGGCGCAGCCGTATCTGGAGGAGCGGCGGTGGGACGAGCTGATAGACCCGTTTCTATTAGAGTCGCGCCCGCCGGCCCGGCACGACTCGTTCCACTCCTTTGCGCTGCTCGCGCAGACCTGTGTCAGCTTCGACCCGCTGCTGCGCCCGCCCTTTGACCTCGTCGCTGCCACTCTCGAGCGCATCCTGCAAGGTCTGTTCCACCGCTGTCACCGCCGCTGCTGCCGCTGGCGTTGTTGCTGCTGCTCCTCGTGAAATGTGTCGCTGTTGTTTTGGGTCGTTTCTTGCTGCGCCCGCCCCGCCCTTTGACCTTGTTGCTGCCACTTTGAGCGCATCCTGCAAGGTCTGTGCCGCTGCCACTGCTTCTGCCTCTGCTGCTGCTGCTGCTGCTGCTGCCGCCGCTGCCGCCGCTGCTGCCGCTCCTTCACTCAAGCATCTTAGGTCACGAAATCAGGCCATAAGCCAGGGACAAATCAGGCCTTTCCACTCAGTCCTCCTTATTTGCTTCTCTCGCTCTGACTTCTCACTTTTGCTTTTTCTATGTACCCCTTCGTTCTGTGTGCTCGGCCCACATCCCTACTATCGTCTCATAATGCTGTCTTTCCGCATCTCGTCTCGCTCGCCCCCCTCGCCCCTCTCATCCCCTCGCGAACCCCACAGCCGACAAGGAAAGCGCGCCTTCCATGCCGCCACAAGCAGTGCGCCGCTCCCACTCACACTCTCCCTCGCACCCAGCGTCGCACGCCCACTCCCGCTCGCACTCCTTCTCCCGCTCTGCCTCCGCGTCTTCAGCCAACAGGGGCGCTCCTCAGGTTGTCTCCGCTTCTTCCTCCTCCCACCACAACCCTCACCAGCAGCAGCAGCAACAACAACAACAGCAGCAGCAGCAACAGCAGCAGCAGAGGGAGGCAGGAGGCATTATCAGGTCATTGGGTAGAAGTGGCAGCGCTCCCTGTCCAGGTCTCGATGCTGCTCCTGGTGCTGCTGCTGCCGCTGCTGTGTCAGGGCTAGCGGCTGGTGGAAATTCAAGCCACAGCACGACGGCGTCTGAGAAGCACCATCGAAGGAAGAGCCGTGGCGGCGGCGGCGACACCAGTGGGCACAGCAGGGCAAGCAGTAGAGGCAGCAGAGGCAGCATCGACGTTGCTGACGGAGCGAGAGGCGAAGCAGGCGCAATTTCTGCCCTGAACCTGAATCCCTCTGGCACTGCGCCCGCGGCTGCTGTGAACGGACCAGGTGTGACGGTTGCAGCAGCGGGCGCGGTGCAATCGCGGGCGGAGGAAGTGAGGCGGCTGATGGGGCTGGTGGAGGAGGGCAACAGTGAGCGGATCGAGTGGGGTGAGACTCTCTCCCGCGTGCGCGATGGCACACCGCAGCAGCAGCAGCAGCAGCAGCAGCAGCAGCAGCAGCAGCAGCAGCAGCAGCAGCAGCAGCAGCAGCAGCAGCAGCAGCAGCAGAAGCACGCGGGCGTTGACAGTGTGTGCGATGGTAGCAATAGCGGTGGTGATGGTAATGCAAGTGGGTCTATGAGTAGTGGTATCAGCACTGGCGATAGCGCCAGTTGCAACGCTCCTGTCCAAGGTAGCTTAAGCTCAGGCTTGAGTAAGCATGGCCATAGTGACTCTACTGCTGGAAGCTTGGAGTGTGATAGCGGACTAGTTGCAAGTAGAAGTAGGAGCAGTAGTGTTAGGTCAGGTAGCAGGGACAGGAAGAGCAGAGAGGGCAGCAGTAAAGGGAGCAACTGGAGCAGGAGTAGCAGCAGCGGCAGCCTCACCACCATAGTCACCAGTGGTAGCAATGATAATAGCAGTAGCAGCAGCAGGAGCAGGGGCAGCAGCAGTAGGGAAACAGGCACAGGTAACTTTATGCGTAGAAGCTCTAGTATGTCCACCAGTAGTGGCAGTAGGAGAAGCAGCAGGGTGGGGAAAACCACAGGCGAGCGATCCAGCAGCAGCAGCAAAGGATGATGATGGGGAAAAGGGCGAGTTTGTGACAGGAAAGAGATGGAGGTGTCAGGTTGAAGCAGCAGGAGGAGCATTAGCAGGAGCATGAGCTTGAATGTAACTAAAGAGGGAGGTGATAGGAAGCGGCGACTGAAAGAGCCGCATCAGCTGAGGGGCACCTCAACAATAAAAGGTACATGTCTATGTGTCGTCATAGAGACCACCGTATCTATCCAAGTTTGCTGATAAGTTAAATTGAGTTCAAGATAGCAGGTTGTCATGTAAGTGCATGATTGTATATCTAGTGGCCAAGCCAGCCTATTGTATTAAATAGGATTTGTGCAGGATTGTCGGATTGTGTGCATGTGCTGTATGTTGGCTTCTGTTGTGCAATATTGTTTGCTAGTAAGACACATTGTACTGGTAATCAAAATTAAGTACCTTGCCAATGAAGCCTAATGCTTCTATTGGATTGTATTTCCACAACATTTGTAAGGATTTACAAATCCTTACTGAGGCGCTCGATAGCGAGGCCATCCCGAGGGCCACGCGACCAACTGGTTCGGCCTACAATTTCGCATCCCAACCTCACCGAGCCGCCTCCGCACCAATCGCGACACTTCGCGAGCCAACTCTACCACACCATCCCCGCCTAGCTAGGTTTTCCCCTATTTAGGCCTCGCTACTTCATTGTTCAGGCATTCGGTAGTTCAACATTCTCGTTATTCGATATCTGCGCACTCTGACAAGTTCATTCATAACACCTGGTATCAGAGCTACTTTCCTAGCCTACCCCGTTTTTTAGAGTGTATTACCCCTCGGGGGGGGGACGAGTAAGGATGCCTTGGGGTCCAGGAGTTGCGTAGGCCGGCCAAGAGAACTCGTTAGTTGCTCTTCGCGGCCATGGTTTTACGGGGCACTCCTTCGGCGCCGCCAGATCCTTTGCTCGAACGGTCGGGATTGACCGTGGCCTCCCTCCCCCCGGGCAACGGACAGCTGGAGCTGTCGCGACTCTGAACGTGAGTTACTATTTCCGCTGCGGTTTTAACGACGATTTCGAAACTGTGAGGCAGCTGGCGTCAGCGGATCTGCGTCGGCACCTGCACGAAGATTTCGGAAGTCGTCACGATGTGTGGCAGTTGACGCCGTCGGACCCGAGTCAACAACTGCTGCGACAACTTCGGAGTCCGTCCCATGCGGCAAGTGACAACGGTGGCTCGTCGTCATCATGCGCGCGCGACTCACGGAGTGTGGCTCGGCAGCTGGCGACAAGGAACGTGCGTCACTGTGGCGAAAATTTCGGAGCTTCTGTTGAAGAAAACGTCGGCTGGGGAACTCGCCAGGCGCAAAAGGAGTTTGCGTCCGAAAATGTCGGTGGCGAGGAGAGACGACACAAGACTGCCCGACTTCGCGGGAGTTAACTGCCGTCCCGCCCGACCTGTTAAGTGCGGCAGCTTTTACTGCATTGGCGGGCGCGTCATCAACAAATTCGGCAGGAGTGCTCGTGGACAGACGGGACTTCATACCTGCTGACGCTTACGGGCTGCAACGGAAAACGCGATGGCTAAACCGCACTTACGAGGAGTGGGACGCAGGCGACGAGGGAAATCGGGGCAGGTACACCTCGAAAGAACTCGTGCGACGCTGCGTGCCTGGTGTTGTTGCAAGCTGGCCGGCAGTATCGAGAACAGTTTCCCCTGACCAAGGATGTTGTTTTCGGGGACAGCTGCTGACAACCCACGGTTAAACGGTGTCCAAGGTACCGCCCGATAATTTCGGAGGGGTCGGTACAGGCTGCCGGGACACGCGAGAAGAAACGGCCCAACGGCTAAGCGGGGGTTGAAGAACGTTGCGGGGGCAGATTAAAAGCCGGTGGAATCGCTCTGCGGCCCTACTTCGCCCGAACCTCACCATCCCCACCAAGTCCTGGTTCTGACTCATGCAGTCAACCTACTTGGCCGAATAACGGGGGTGAACACGTGGCCTACCCTACGCTGGTTAAAGGTACCGGGTTTGGTGCCCGTTCGACAGCTGTACAGAAAAAATACAAAAAAAAAGTGGAGCTCGCGGCACTGTTCTACTCCGACAAAAGCGGGCTGGGTGAACGGCACGCGAAAAAGTCGGGGAGCTGCGAAGAAGAAATGGTGCAGTCTACAGGTTTCTCCTGACCCGGGCGTCTACACGAATCGACGGCGCGGCGGCGAAGCTGAGACCGGGAAGCTGTGGATTTTACGTGACGTGATAGGCACGGCGGGCTGCAAAACGGTTGGGCGACAGTTTCCTTTTAACTAAGGCTGCCCCGACTCCGATAGTTTTTGCCTCTCCACCGTGGCCGAGTTCGCGTGGGCAACAACGACGATACCCCATCCGACAAAAGCGGACGCTGGGTGAACGGCGGGAAGCGGAATTGTCGGGGGGTGAATACGAAAAAATTGATGACGGAAGGGAAAGTTGTGGATGTTCCAGCAGATCACTTGAGTGATAGGTTGAGCCCGTGCACCAATCTACCGCGAATTTCGGAGTCTATTCGGTAGACCCCCGAAAGGGTTTGATATCGTTACATGGAGGCGCGGCGAGCGGTACATTGCCAAGGATACCTGGGATTCGCTAAGTAGTCCGGCGGGTACGAAGATGGGTGAACATCGGAGTACCAGGGAAAAAACGGCGGAAACGTCGGGGCTATACGGCGGAGAATAACTTCGGGACTGCAGCCTCAACCACGATTTTCGGGGTTATCTTCCTACGAAAAAAAAGGAGTTGAAGCTGAGGGTGTTTTCTTCGTTTCTTGGAGTGCGGTTGATACCTAGGACCCACGGGTGTTTAAACGTACACCATAGAAAATTCTTCAGGGAGCGTGGGAGCAGCCGAGGCTTCGGGATTTACCTGCCGGTGACGCGCGATGAGGTGAAACATCGCAAAGCGCCAGTGGGAGTTTGCGTGGTTTTCAGTTAAGCGACATCGACGGGAGCAGTTTCGACGACGGGGTCAACGGCGTTGATGCCTCTAGGTTCCGTGAAATTCGGTCTCGGAAGACCCAGGGCAGTCCCCGGTTCTCGATTTAACCCACATGCTGGGGTCGGGTAACCGAAGGAAACTGATGGTGACCGGGTGGGCGGCTATAGCACGTCTGAGATTTTCGGAGGAGAACTGCACCTAGACCTGTGGATTTACGGGGCTACTTCTCGAGCGACGATTTCGGAGTTTGACGAAGGACTTCACGGTTTTACGGCGAAAGCGCGGCAATTTTGTGGCAGTACTTTCGAAGTTTGGTTACACGCGCGCGAAATTTACGCAGGGCAACGGCGCGGGAACTACACGGACTTTTCAAGGGGTACGAACGACTTACGACGAACTGGAGAAGGCGGCGGCAACAGTGACGGGGGGGGAGAGACAGCTGCAAATTTTCATCCCTGCCCACGAACTCTCGGCGGATTACGACAAAATTCTTGGAGAATCCATCCCAACTCTGCTTCCAACAACTCGCCATCGACCCGCCCACGACAAACATATTTAATTTCAGCCACGTCAGGTGCTGCCAGCTGCAACTGCTGCGGATGCTGCATGATTCTGGCGATGTGAAGACAAAAAGCTTCAGTTCGAGTACTCGGCAATTTCGGTTTCGGTTTCTGGTCTACTTTCGCTGGTTCGCCCTTGACGACTTTTGGGCACGTAATTCCTGGTTTCGACATCGACATTTCCACACCGACGCATTTTCACTTGGGTTCCTTCCATCAACGGCTTCCTTCGTGGGACTTAACACCCGGTTTTGTTTGTTTTCATCTCGGCGCAGCTGCTGGAACTTTTATGGTGTGTTTTCTTGGAGTGGGGGAGAAAGTGCTTCGCACTGTTCTTTCCTTGGCGTTTTCTTGGTCCTTTTCTGACTTTGTCAGGTTGCGACAGCACGACGGACGACCGCGATCACACCGACACGATCTACGGTTCCTGCTCAATTGCGTTTGAATTCGCGTCAGCAGGTTCCCTCCCTTTTCGCATCTGCTTCGACCGTCGGATCTACAGCATATGCATCTACGGCTCACAATCCAACTTTCATTACAATTGAGGTCACTTCATCTTCGACCGTCAGATCGAAATCTGACAACATCAACGGCCGACATTCCAACCTTTTCAACAATATTGTCTGGGGCATTTCAGCCGTCGGATTCAGCTGAAGTGAAGATCAACGGCATCCTCGCTACTGGGTGACCCTTTTCAGTACAGGGCTGCCTTATTTAGGAGGTGGGAGAGTGTAAGGATTTACAAATCCTTACTGAGGCGCTCGATAGCGAGGCCATCCCGAGGGCCACGCGACCAACTGGTTCGGCCTACAATTTCGCATCCCAACCTCACCGAGCCGCCTCCGCACCAATCGCGACACTTCGCGAGCCAACTCTACCACACCATCCCCGCCTAGCTAGGTTTTCCCCTATTTAGGCCTCGCTACTTCATTGTTCAGGCATTCGGTAGTTCAACATTCTCGTTATTCGATATCTGCGCACTCTGACAAGTTCATTCATAACAACATTGATCCACAGGACCTTATGTCTTCACTTCAGGTGGTAGCCCTGTATTCTGTTATATCACTTGAATCTATTGACCTGACAAGTGCTGTGGTCTCTGGTGCAGTGCTGCATGATGCTGAATGTGGGCTGGTGCCACGTCAGATTTGTTTCAGCAACCGTGTCAATCCCATGCCAAGCGTCACCTGCCCGCTGCGAAAAAAAAAATGCGAGCATCTTTCTCTGGTGTCAGCACAACAGTCTCTCTGTCGATAGACCCGGTCCGAACCCTGCACCTTTGCGAGGCTACTGGAAAGTTGTGGTTTTGAGAAATTTGAGTTAACCCGAAATATCAATACATTTTTCCCAGCGCTGCAGAGACGCACGCGGTCACGTGCCGCCTTCGGGGAAGATGAAGGCCAACCCATTTCAGCAGCGCGGGGCGGAGTTGCACTTGCACCAGCCACGATGGGCGCGGGAGCAGCGCCTGCACTGCAACAATCTTTCTTTGCGTGAGGACCCCGAAGCGCGTCTGTTTTTGTGGCGTCCTTCCCTGCTACCTTGGCCAGTTCGCTGCTTCAAGTACATAAACTCCAACAACGGCTGACCTTGGAGTGTGTTCATATCCTGCTAGTAGTTCTCTTGCGCCATTCTGCCCTTCTCGATCAACGCTCGCAAGGCTGTCATACGAAGTCAACAGAATCCTCGCTTTCAGCTACTCGCTCCTTTCCCTCGTCGTCGCGCTCTAATCGTCCCGTATTGATTAAAATTAGCAGCTCGTGTGTAAGTAGAAATCCGTTCCGTCAACATCAGTCACAGACATCCGCAGCGTCATGTCAAATACTCTCGAAGTGACAGGTGCGCATACAGTCAGTCACATCCACACTAAAAAAAATTCGAGTGAAACAGCATACAAAGGAGAAGGTCCGTATCCCAACCCAGCTCACCAGCGCCTAGTCTGACTCGAAACGAAGAACCATATCGTACTCGCGTCGCGGTTCGTGTGAACCGTACCACCGATAACGCTAGTAGCTCCGCGAGCACCTGACCTTCGCCGTCTGTAGGACATCGCTGTATGCTCAGCAACACACCTATAACCCTGAGCCATATCTGCTCAGCTATATTTGTTCCCTAACATGGATAAACAAGCGCGAACAGTCCTTGTTTCCTTATACGCGATAACGTCCAATCAGAATTAACTCGATTCTCGCGCACGCCCACACGCGTGCCGCCGCAGCGACGTTTGTCCGTCGCGAAATTTGACCAAGGGGCGACGGCGGAATGTCGGCAGATGCCCGCTTAGGAATCCCCATTCTTAAACCCCTAGTGCTCGTTCTTGCTGCTCGCCTTACAATATCGCGCGTGCGTCCCACCCGCATGGGTGTTTCACTCCTCGTTTCTGCCTTTCCCCCTCTCCGCTTCTCCCACTCTCCCCCTCCCCCCTCCTCTTCCGCCTATCCGCGTCTCCCCCGACATGCGCGCGCAGTGGTGGGCGGAGTGGGGTTGTCGGACAAGGAGCTATTCACGCGCCAGGACCCATACGTCGTCCTCGAGTACGGCCAACAGCGCTTCCGCTCCAAGACAGACATAGGTACGTACCACCACTGATGCTAGTTTTGAGGCGCCTCAAAACTAGACATAGGTACCACACACGCTCATCGCATCGCATCGCATGGCATCGCATCGGGATGGCAAAGCGTCGCATGCTGTGGAACAAGAGCGCGTAGCGTGGCACGCCGGGCTGTTGCCCTTCTGCTCCCCACTTCCTCTCTTCCCCCTCTCCCCACGGCCCCGCTTTCCCCGGTCGTGATCATGTGCATGTTTCTGTCTTTATGCCGTTTGCCCCCATCCGCGCCAAACGGCAGCACGAACCGCGTGTTCAACGCCGCGTTCGCGCTGTCAACTCTTGAGACGTCTCAAAAACATCTTTTCCCCCTGCCTCCCGCGTCCCCCCATCCGCGCACCCATCCGCGCACCAAATCGCGCCAGATGGCGGCACGAACCCCGCGTTTAACGCCACGTTCACGCTCTCGCTACTGCCGGGTCTCAACGAGCTGTGCATCGTCATCTGGAACGAGAACGTGCTGCGCGACAACGTCATCGGCTCCTGCAGGTGCCCCTTCCCGCGCGCTCTCCCCCTCTGCCCCTCTCCTCCTCCTTTCTTTCCCTCTCTCCTCTCTTCTCCTCCCCTTTCCGTCTCCCCTTTCCTCTCCTCCTCCCCTCCTCCCCTCCTTCCGTTTCTCCCATTCCTCCCCTCGTCTCCGCTGTCCTTGCACTCCGCTGACCTTAGAAGAGATTTTTTTTCCCCTCTCCCCCCTCTTTTCCCCCCGTCTAGCATCTTCATTCCATCATGCCGTCTCGTGTGCGTCTCTGTGCGTGATGCGGGTGGCCCCCGTGCAGAATAGCGCTGGAGAGGGTGCAGGCGACGGGGTTCGAGGACGGGTACTTCCCCGTGTACAACAAGCGACAGCAGTGAGTGCACTCGCACGCACACACGCACCAACGGCACGAACTAGGTCGAGTGGGAGGGCTAGACACAGGGGCAGGCAGCGTGCAGTTTGCGTGTTTTTCATGTCATAAGCAGTCAGGCAGCCAAGACCGCGATCATGCATTGAGGCAGTGTGCTGCCACTCTGACGCCTCTCCATCGCCTTTCCTCAAATTTCTCCGCTCCCTCTTCCCTCTCCCCTCCCCCCTCTTCCCTCTCCCCTCTCCCCTTCCCCCTCTCCCTCCCGCCCTCCCCCGTCTCGAATCCCCCACTACCTCATCATGCCCCATTACAGTCAGCATGGGTCCTTACGAGTCATTCTCAAGTACCGCCCCCAGGTAAGCCCTCCCCACTCACAATCCCCACTCCCCTGCTCACTGGTTGTCGCTTCTCACTCCCCGATCCCCTTTCCCCCTTCTGCCCTTCTGCCATCTCCTCTTCTGTATCTATCCTCCGCGCCTGCCTCTCCCGCATTGTACAGCCATGTCTCACCTTGCCAGTCTCTCAGTCGCACTCGTATCCCATCGGCTCACAGCCGCTCATTTGAGTTGAGGCAGGCATCTCATACGTTACTAGGTCAAACGGCCATAGCGGGTTGTGCACCTCCACTGCACTCCTCATGTGCCCCACCCATCATCCACTTACCGATCTGCACACCTGCGACAACATCCCCTTCTGCCCTTCTCACCCCATTCCCTAACCTCCCATTCTCTAATATCTCATTCCACCTCCACCTCCCCTCCCCCTCCCCCTCCCGATCCCCGTACAGTACTCCCCCTCGCCATATCCCGCGTCACCCTACCCTCCACCCTACCCTGCTCAACCGCCTTACGGTGCTCCTCCGCCCGCCTACCCCCCAAGCTACCAGTACCCCCCCACCTCCATCCTATCCTCCCTCTCAGTCGTACACGTATGGCCAGGCTCCTCCTTACCCTCCCACGTACCCGCCCCCCAATGCCGGCTCATACTCTTATCGCTGAGGGTTTGTTTCGGTGCGAAGTCGTACATTATATGAAGCTGTGTTGATACCGGTAGTTATTTTGCAGTGTTGGGTATTTAGGTTGCAGATAATGTTGTACAGGCAGGTTTAGAGTGCTGGTCAGTTGGGTTGGGTAGCCCAGCTTTTTCAATAAATGCTCAGCCATTTCCTTCTCAGCTTCCTAATTTCTAAAAGTCTCAAGAAGATGTACGGTACTGTGCACTTTTTTTTTAGATTACACAATAACCAGCGAGGCTGCACGATACCATTTCCGGTGCACATGGTATGGCACAACAACACCATACGTTGTACACATTACAGCCTCCAGCGATGCAGCAGCGTGTGTGTGCGGCACTCGACCAGCAGCGCATACGCTTCTATCAGGATGAGGGAAACAGCCATTCATGGGTCGAACACTTGGGTCGGGGAGATAAGGTGATCTCAAGGGGGCATCTCCGCCAAGTGCTCGACGACAAACCGGCAGTTGCTCTCCGACTCAGGCTGCGCCACCAGCGTGCCGTTCCCCAGCATAGCGGCAAACATGGCAAAGGTGCTAATGTAGCGCGTGAAGCTCACCACCACCGCTGCCTTGCTCAGCATCAGAAAGTCCCCCAGCGTGCCCAGATGGCTCCCCTGGGACTGCGACTTGGACAGGTGGATGGCAGGAGCGTTGGAGAAGAAGACTCGCCCGAACGGGCGCAGGAATTTGACTATGGCTGGCCGGACTTCGTCTGTGTCAGTGGCTATGAAAATGGTGAGGAGGGGGAGAGGGGTGCTGGGAGGAGGAGGGGCTTGGGCAGTGGCGGGGGGTACGGGAGAGGTGGGGGGAGTGGTGGTGGTGGTGGTGGCGGTGGTGGTGATGGCGGCGATTCGCATCGACTCTTCTACTGTCCATTCCTCCTCCAGGCGCCTCCGCCTCCCTGCACTGCTGCTGCTGCTGGTGCTGGTGTCTCTGGCGCTGCTTATGGCAGGGTTAACAGGAGATGGGGCCGATGGGACACTGGTTGGAGAGGGCGTGGAAGGAGCAGCATGGGGGCCAGAGGCTGGAAAGGACTGATCAAAGGGTGAGACGGCAGGTGCAGGGCTCGTGGTTTGGCTCAAACCACGAGAGGATGCGTTGGAGGGGTCAGGGGGACTGGCACTGCTATCAGCACCAGCTGCTGCTGCTGCTGCTGCTGCCATCGCTGCTGTTGTTCCTCCTGCTTCTCCTGCTGCAGTGGAAGCACTAGCAGTGGCATTCCCACCACCCGCACCATCAGCAGCCGCAGCAGAAGAGCGCAGGGCGGCGGCTTTCTTGATGCGCAGGAACTGCGCGAGGCGAGCGATGCAGTGCCAGCGCGAGGGGCGGAGAAGGCTGGCCACTAGCTCCTGCTGCTCCTGCTCCTGCTGCTCCTGCTGCTCCTTTTCTAGCTGCACACAGGAGAGGTCTCCGTTCACGCATCCCAACTCCACCTTGCTGGATAGGAGAGAAGGAGGTGCGAAGGGAAAGAGGACGGAGGGGGAGGAGGAAGAGGAGGGGGACAGGAGAGAAGAGAAGAAGGCAGGAATGCAGGGAAACAAATGGGGTTATGGAAGATGGTGAAACAGTAAGCAGCAGCTCATCTTACTGAAGTCTCTGAATCCAAATACAGCTCATGTATGTACTCACTCACACACATGCATTGGGGTGATTTTTGAAGCGCCTAAATATCACCTTGCACCAGCTCATCACACTCAAGCCGCTGTCCGTAAGCAGTGCATGTGCTCACCCTCACCCACGGTGCAATGAAATGAAGAGCTGCTTCACCGGGCCGTCCTCAGCTCATGCATTTCATGAAATGAAATGAAGCTTCGCAACCCCACCACCGGGCCGTCCTCACCTCACCTCACCTCACCTCACCTCACCTCACCTCACCTCACCTCACCTCACCTCACCTCACCTCACCTCACCTCACCTCACCTCACCTCACCTCACCTCACCTCACCACGCCCTGCCCTGATGATTCCATGGCGTTTTTGTCTACTCAAGCCTCTAGAGGTTACTTTTGAGTAGTCGACTCTGATCTCACCTGGGCCGCCCTCGCACGTGCAAGGCCATGTCAAACTGCATCCGCACCGCCTGCCCTGGCGGCACCTTCTCCATCTCCCAATGCTCCTCCTCCTCCCCCCCCATCCCCACCCTCCCTCCTCCCACTCCCAATCCCACTCCATCCCCTTCCTCAGGCTGCTGCTGCACGAGCGGGAGCGGGCGGATCGACCAGAGGCCCTTATCCAGTTCCCTCTCCAGGCGAACAGACGGGCCGTTGAGGAGCAGCAGCGCGAGTGTCTGCGCGTGCACGCACCAGATGGTGGCGCAGCGGAAGGCCGCGAGCACGCAGCGATACACGCGCTTGTCCCCGCGCCAGAACTTGTCGAAGAAGGAGCCCGTGAAGACGGAGAGCACGGGGGAGGGGTCGGAGAGGCCGTGCAGGACGAGGTCGTGGGGCTCGAGGAGAGGCAGAGGGAGCGCGAGCGAGGTGGTGACGAGCTGGTCTGTTGCGCATTCAAAGGCGTCGCAGAGACGAGTGAGAACCTGGTGGGGGACAGAGGGGGAGGGAGGGGAGGAGAGGGGAGCAGGAAAGAGTGGTTTGGGTGCCTTGGGCTTTATGCAGAAAAAGGTTGTGGTGTGAGTAGGGTTTGAGGATGTGGAGAGGGAGTAGAGGCATACAGAGAGACACGACGCAACAAATGACCCAGACAGACACCCGTGCCAAGCAGGTGCAAGGGTACACTACCGGGGCTGGGGAATGGGCAGATGGAAAAGCGGGGACTGTGAAAGCAGGCACAGAACAATGCACACTCCCCTCCCCATTGTCTGAATCGTGGAGACCGGGGACAGGGAAAGCCAAGCGTGCTGCGCGTCCATCTCTCTCCCACTCACCCGGCCGTGCGGGCCGCCGTGCCAGCGCAGGAAGCGGCGGCCAGAGAGCAAGGCGAAGAGCAGAGCAGAGGAGAAGCCGCGCAGGGAGTTGCCGAGGCCGTGCCTCGGCACAAACACCAGCCACCGCTCTCCTGCCACCCCCAACGCACTCGCGTTACCGCCGCCTCCTGCTGCTGCTGCCGCTGCTCCTGCTGTTGCGAGCAGCGCCCGCAGCTGATCTTCCGAGGCGTTTCTACCCGTGATGGTGGTGGAGAGGCCGGAGTAGGCGGAGGGCGGAAGCAGCTTGGCGCACGAACGGGTGTTCTGAAGTGGGAAAGGCGGAGAAGGGTAGGGGAGAGGGGCGGGGGGAGGGATAAGAGAGTAATGGAAGATAATGGGAGGGAGCAGCGCGTGTGTGTGAGGTGAGGTGACAGTCAGGGTGGAATGGTGGAGAGGTGCAGCAGGTGCGATGGGTCAGCAAAACGGTAACTGAAAACGTCATGTTCCAAGGGTGCTCTGCTGCGGCTCTGTGCTGTGCCGTGCAGTGCAGTGCGATCCAGTGCGGCCAAGTGCGATGCAGTGCGGTGCTGCTGGGCGCCTCACTCACTGCAATGTCAACCGAAGTGGGGCGGGCGAAGGGCATTCGCCACGAGCTGCCTTGCTGCCGCATCGGCCACACCCACTGGTACCGCTTGGCAGCTGGTGAGATCAGATCCTCCTGCCGCCCCGCCTCGTTCACCCAGCTAAACGCCAGATTTGCTGACTCGTCAGGTCCCTCCACCCACCCTTCCACCAGCTCTCGCCTCCTTCCCCCACTGCTGCTCCTCCCACCTCCTCCTCTCACATCCTTCTGCCCTTCATTCCCACTCTCTCCCACTCCATCACTCTCGAATTCTCCCCGACTTTCACCCTCTCCTCTATCCCAACCCTCTCCCTCCCACTCCTCCCGCTCCGATTCGTCACCAAACCCAATGTCGTCGCCCCATTCCTCCGCCCACCAGTCCCGAACCCACAACCCACTACTCCTATTCACTCCCCCTCGTCCCCGTGCCCTCGTTCCCCAGCTATTCCCCGCATCCCCTGACCAGTCATCCGCTCCCTCTTTTCCCCTCTCCTCCGCCCCTGTTTTCCCCTCCCGTCTCTCACCGTCCCCTTCTCCTCGGTTTGCCTCTTCAGCCATTCGTTCCGCTCCCGCCACCCTTCTCCCTTCCGCATCCTCCTTTCCCTCCCCCCGCCACTCCGGCTGCGGCTTGCGCGCTCCGCCAGTTTCGCTGTCCGCCGCTGTTCCGCTAGTCACTTTCCCCGCCGTTTCCGCTCGCACGTCAATGCGAGATCCGTGTCGTGCCCGCCACTGGCTCCGGGATGCGCGGGGCCAATTAAGACGCGATGGTTTGGAAGGCGCCTTTTGGCGCAAAATTGGAGGTCCTTCGGCGGGAACATTTGCAGAGTCGATTCCCGATGTGATTCCGGAGCTACTTTTCGAGCTAATTTTGGAGCTAATTTTGGAGCTAATTGGATCGGTTCCGCGCGACTCATGTAACGAGCGAGTACGCTGGGGTCGGGAGTCGGCGTGTTCTGCGAATGGCGAAGATTCTGGCGAAGATATTTGCGAAGGAGGGAGTTTGGTACCTGGAACAGCATTGCCAGGCGACGGAGCAAGGCGAATGGGGTCGTGTGACGCAACAAAGAGGCCAAGGAGCAGCAGGAGCGCTGCAATACCGAGGCGAAACGGTGTGATGGAGGAGGATCGTCCAGCGGACGGCGAGGTCCCAGCTGACTCAACTGAACCGGATGCTATCACAGCCATGGTCTGCAATAGCGTTGGTTGTTGGTCGAGCAGTAGTAGCAGCTAGGTGATGGATACCGTCCTTTGCGACTGGTGCCCTGGGCCGTTTGGTAGAGTGCGACTCCCTCTCAAACCTCGCTGATCACTTGGGTGATACCCGCTTTTGGTTTCGTCAGAAACATGCAAGGTACAATCTAAAACGAAGGATAAGTTTGTAAGTTGCGTAGGAACCTTATACACTTGTTTTTCTATTTTATGCCTTAATTCCTTTGGCTTGTTGTTTCCTGAAAATTTTTTGTGTGTTATCTAACTTCCATTCTGGCAGTATTATCTGCAAAGTATATTTCTTGGTTTTCTGGTAAGCTTTCCCAGGTCACAAGACGTTCATAACGGGTCATGAGTAATCTTATATAGGTTTCCATAGGCGTGCTCCGTTTGGCTCGCAGAATATCCATTTCACTTCGCACCCGCAGAATCTTGGGCGAGGCGACCGTGCGACGTCCCACCGCTGCCTAACCAAACCACCCTGCCACCGTCACCCAGCCACTCGGTGCGCTTCCCGCCAACGCGGTACTGACCCAGCCACGTCACTCCACCCCACCACTCTGCATTGCGGCGCCATTTTTCCGCCAGCCCTCCCCCGCTAGGGCGTTCCCCGTTCCCCTCGCTCTTGCCGCGCTGAAATGTAGCAGGGCGGAATGCTGATGGGGCGGAGTGGGGGAAAAAATAGGTGTGTGGGAGGGGAGCGCTCCAGTCGCGCAACGGTTGCAGTGCAGTTGCGCACTTTATATCCGCGTTCTTTTCGATGCCATTGTTGGTTGTTGAGTTCCCATCCAATACCATCCCGATTCTCGTATTTCGCTTTCCGCTCCTCCTCGCTCTGTGCTCGCCAGCGAAACTGGGTGTCATTGTCACGGTTGTTCCACTTTTCTCGCATCCTCCTCGCCTTTTCGGAAGCGTATCTTTTCCGCTTTTTCGTTTTATTTGCCCAAGTCACACAGTCACGTACCAGCCTTGCGTCCCGATCTATTTGATCTAGTAGCGCGCTGACCTGTTCGATTTAGTTTCTAATTTTTTAACCTTCCAGCAACTTTTCGATCTCGAATCTCGCCAGCACCACACGTGCAAACCTTCGCACGCGAAGTCGTGACATCCCGTGCGCAATGGCCTCTACCAAGGGGCTCGTCCCCATCACGCGAAGTTTCCTCGCTGCGTTCTACGCGAAGCACCCGTTCGATCCGCTGCACGACGACGTGGAGAAGCTCTTCGCGCGCCTCTCGGAACTCAGCGAGGCGATCGATGCCAAGCGCGTCGCCACAGAAGGTTCGCTACGGCCCCTTCCCACTTCGCCTCGCTCTTGTCGCTCGTCGAAAGTTTCGCTCAATAAGATCTGTCTGTCGGTAGATTTAGTAGCATCTGCTATTGCTCCTCGGCACACATCAATGATGGGATTTTTCCGTCGTTCTGGTTCTTCTCTAGCTCGCAATGTTCCCGTTTTAGAAACGACTTGGCGATCAGTCGGAGTAAAACATTATCTTGATGACCTGGTATGAAATGAGAGAGGAATTGTAAGGAACCGTGTAGCTTCCACATCTCACAGTATAGTGTCGTCAATGTTTTAGTTTTCATAGAAGTCGAACCGTTGTAGTTTCAAGAAAAGAAGCATTTTAGATTTTTTTTAAGAAGGTTCCTAATGTGTTCCGCGCATTCTGAACTTCGATGCAAATGACGGTCAGATTCCAGTGCTAAATAAGCTGGAGAAGTGGGGGGTTGGTGGCGAGGGCAGGCGTTCTAATGCGAGCAGCTGGGATGCAGATCTGGTAAATGTGCGAACACGATATATGTGTAACGGTGCAGGATGTCACGCGTATACGTGTAGCATGGACTCCTGACATTGAATTTTGTCTTGTTTCTTCGTTTACGCTTATGCATCTGCGTATAGTTCGTGTCTGCGTGCATGAATGTCCGATAATGCTCCCGATCTCTTTCCTGCGTGCACGCTTGTCGATGTGCGGATGACGATGCGTGCTTTATGCTCCATGGTCCATGTGGCTTGCACAAAAAGGCGAAGAGAAGGGACTGCTATCCTCGTTATTGTTGGAGCCGCCGCACAAGCTGGACGAAAACTTCTGGAAGAATCGCGAGCAGCTCGAAGAAATTCTGTTCCTTTTAGACGATGCCCAACTGCCGGCCGCGGTAAGCGCTGCCATTCTCCCCCGCGCGCCTTACAACGAGATCTTGTTTGTTGAGATCTCAAATATCTTCGCACTCCTTACCGTAACCTTAACCTAAATTCGTGCCCTAACCTTACTCCTTCCGTCGCACCTCGTCGTGCGGCTTTCGCCACTGCCACTTGTTCCTTCTCATTTCTGCTCTCCCTCCTGAACCCGTGTGCGGTGTCTCCCCCCTTTTCTTTTACCCTTGCTTCGTTGTTGACTACTTCTCTGCGCGTTCTTGCGCGGGCCTCATTTTTTTCTCGCGCGCACGCACGTTTGCACCCACCTTTCCCCCCCACCCGCTCTCCCCCCCCCCCCTCTTTCCCCATCCATGTGCGCGGAACTCCAGGTGAAGGCGGGCGAGTCGCCGGCGGGGAAAGCAGCAGCGGAGGCAATCGGGAAGTGGAAGGAAGAGCTGCAGACGACGCTGGGCCTGATCGAGAAGTTTCAAGAAGTCACCAGCGAGCGCATCACCAGCATGGGTACGTTGTTCTCGTTATTGGTGTGGCTCGGTATGAGCATTTCGCCAGCCTGGTTATGTGATCGCTCGTTACAAGCACACGGTGATATTGTTCGTTGTAGGCAATCCCAGGATGGGTCTGTGATTGCCCGTTACAGATTATCTCTAGTGTAGATGTGCCTTCGACAGCCCACTCTCACCTCGATTGCACCTGCACGCCTCGCTCTTCCCCGGACAGTCCCTCCCCCCGGACCCTCTCTTGCACCGCTCGCCCCCCTCTCTCCGATTTTTTTTTCCCCTTTTTTCCCGTTCTTCCTCCACCCTCCCCCCACCCATCCCCCCGATCCCCCATCCCCGCCCCTCCGCACCCCGCCCCGCCACGCGGCGCAGTGTTCACGTACATGCCGCAGGACTTCCGCGGCACGCTGCTGAAGCAGCAGAAGGAGCGGTCGGAGGCGCGGCGCAAGCAGGAGGTGGCGAACCTCGTGAGCAACGGCGGCACCATCAAGCAGAAATACGCGCTGCTCTGGCAGCAGCAGATGGACAGGTGCGCTCTCCGTGTGCGTGTGCGTGTGCGTGTGCGTGGGTGTGTGTGGGGGGGTGTGTGTGCGCTCGCGCGCGTGTGTTGGCGGAACGGGGGGGCGGGCGCGGAGAATCGGGGCAAGGGGAAATGAGGGGAGGGGAATCCTGAAGATGCGTGAGCGATTAACCACTGCAACACACAAATAGCAGCACAATCGCAGCTTGTGATCGCACATAAGGATATCCCTCTCCTCTACCATCATCAGCACTTCCTTTCCCCCTCGCCGTCTCCCTCCGTCCCTATTCCTGCACCCCTCCCATTGTTGTTCCTCCTTCTTCCCTCTCTCCTTCAAGCTTTTCCGCTTATTGCTCAACCAGTCGCTCCTTCCTGCCCGCCACTCCCTGCCCGCCACTCCCTGCCCGCCACTCTCTGCCCGCCATTCCCTGCCCACTTCCGCTTCCTCTCTATGCCAGTCCCACCGTCTGCCACTCATCTTCTCTCTCCCCCTCCTCCCTCCCTTTCTCCCGCCTTCCTCGCTCCCTCACTCCCTCCCTTCATCTCTCCCTCCCCCCTGCCCGCTCTGCTCGTCCCCTCCGGTGCATGGGCACCAGGCGGCACACACTGGCGTCACTGGGAGCAGCCACGGGCATCTACCGCACACTAGTCACCTACCTAGTTGGCGTGCCGCAGGTCAGCGCAACCTCCTCTCTCGCACTCCCTCTCCTTTCCAGGCTCCACTCCACGCTGCCATAGGCCACTCCTACCCTCCTTCTCTTTGCCCCTTGTCGTTCCTCTCCGCTCCGCCCCTTCTCCCTCGCTCTCTCTGTCTCCGAACCTGTTCTCGTGCACTTTGCTCTAGGCAGCTATGCGTTGTTCTTCTCCCCACCACCTGTCTCTGGTTTTCCCACTCGTGATTGTGGTTCACTTCACACAGCCCCTATTCTTCTCCTCCCAGTCCGTCTCTTCTTGCCTCTCACATGCACGTTCCATGTTCCCCTTCCCAACTCTCGCATTCGTCGACCTCATCCGCCCCTCCATTCTTCCTGTTCTCCTCTCCGCATTCTTCCCTTCTTCCCTCCGACCCCCCCTTCGCCCCCCCCCCCCCCCCCCCCCCACCGTTTCTCGTAATGCATGCAGATCCTGCTTGACTTTGTCAAGTCTATCAACGACCACAACGGGTACTCCTCTCCTCTCCTCTCCTTTCCTCTCCTCTCCTCTCCTCTCCTCTCCTCTCCTCTCCTCTCCTCTCCTCTCCTCTCCTCTCCTTCCTCTCCTCTCCTCTCCTCTCCTCTCCTCTCCTCTCCTCTCCTCTCCTCTCTCCTCTCCTCTCCCCTCCCCTCCTCTCCTCTCCTCTCCTCTCCTCTCCTCTCCTCTCCTCTCCTCTCCTCTTCCCTCTCTCTTTCTCTCTACCGCTCCCCTTTTCTTTCCCTTCCTCTCCTTGTGTGCTGTTTTTTTTGTGCCTGTTCTGGTCGGCCCCTCCCCCACAACCCACTCTTCCTCCTCCCCTCGCCCCCTACGCCTTTCGTTCTTCTCTGTTCATCTGCTTCTCTGTTCATCTGCTTCGCGGTCACCAATCTCGGATCCGCCATCCACGCTGCCCCCCGCCCCTCCTGTGCGTGTCCGCACGCTGTGTGCAGCCCCGTAAATGGGACTTTTTAGGCGCCTCAAAAGTAGAACCCCCACCGCTCGTGTCCGTGTCTGTGTCCGTGCGTGGTGTGCGTGTCTGTGTGCAGGCCCATGGAGGAGCAGCGGCTGTCGTACGGGCCGCCGCTGTACCGCCTCACGGCGCTCGCCAATCGCCTGCACATCTTCCTCGCACTCTGGTGGTCCTCCTTCGACGAATGCGCCGAGTCAGTGCGGGGGAAGGGGGAAGGGTTGGGGGGAAGGTGGGGGTGAGAGGGGGGGAAGGGGGGAGGGGGGAGGGGATGGCAGGGCAAGAGGGGTGAGGGCGAGGGGAGGGGACGGGAGTTCTGCCAACAGCCTGCACACCTTCCTCGCGCTCTGGTGGTCCTCTTTCGGGACGACCGGTTGAGTCATTGCGAGGAGGGAAGTGGGGGGAGGGAGGGGGGAGGGAAGTGGGTGTTGAATAGTCGATAGAAGCAGAATGCGCAACTTCTTGATCCGGTGGTCCTCCTTCGATGAGTTTGTCGAGTCAGTGCGGGGTGGGGGTGGGCACGTATTGGAGGTGGCAGCGGGAGAGGGGAGGGGAGCGGAGGAATATTTGGGGGAGAGGGGGGAGAGGTGGAGTGGGAAATGTGATGAGGGCAGGGAAAGCGGAGGAAGTGAAAGGACTTTTGCTTTCATGTTGCCGATCTCTTTTTGTTGCTTTCTTTTTTCTCCCCTTCATTCCCCCTCTCCTCTTATTTCCCTTACTCAATCCCTCTCACTCTTGCTGGTATCTCCCTGCCGCTTCTCCCCGTGGGGTTACTTGGTCATGTGCGGGTGCGCGCACAGGAACGCGTCTGACTACGTGGGCGTGGTGAGCGACGCTACTTTTGAGGCGCCTCAAAGATCCCTCTCACTCTCGCTGGTGTATCTCCCTGCCTCTGCTCCCCGTGGGTTTACTTGCTGGTGTGTTGGTGCGTGCACAGGAATGCGTCTGACTACGTGGGCGTGGTGAGCGACGCTGCAGCCATCTACTCCAAGGAGATTGCGCGATTCCTCACGCTCCTCAGGTGCCTACCCACTGCGTGCACTGTTTTTCATGTGGAGTGCGTGTTTGGGTGCACGTTAGACGCACGTGAGCTCAGGCACACGGGAGTAATTAACCACTCGCGGTGCCATGCCTCCCCTCTACTCGTCGCCTTGGCCTCTCCATTCGCTTGATCTCCCTTCCTTGGCTGTCCCTTTCTGTCTGCTGTCGCCAAATTATCCTCCCCTTTCCCTTCCCCCCTCCTCCCGACCTTTCTCCCGGCCCGCGTGTGTGTGTGTGTGTGTGTGTGTGTGTGTGCGTGTGCGTGTGCGTGTGCGTGTGCGTGTGCGTGTGCGTGTGTGTGTGTGCAGCGATGTGTTTGAGCAGTCGCCGTTCTTGATATCCCCAGAGGAGGCCATGTCCGCTGAGGATAAGAGGTGCGTGCCGTGCCGCGCCGTGCCGTGCCGCGCCGTGCTGTGCTGTGCTGTGCCATGCCACGCCTTGCTCATGTGCTTGTTTCGCTTCACACCACCAACATGCTCGCTCTCCACTGCCATACTTGTGCTGCACCGCCATACTTGTGCTGCACCGCCATACTTGTGCTGCACCCGCCATACTTGTGCTGCACCCGCCATACTTGTGCTGCAGCCTATGTGGCGATGAATGCATTAGCGTGCCCCACTCCCCGCTTCCGTTGCCTCTCCCTTCTGATCCGCGGCCCAGTTGCGTCCCGTGCACTGCACACACCAATCCCACCGTTCCACCCCCCCTCCCCCCACCTTCTCCCCCTCCCCGTTTGCCCGTGGCAGCAAGCTGGAAGAGTTCAAGGAGCTCAACATCGCATATGGCCAGAGCTCGCAGGTATGCCATGCCATGCCATGCCATGCCACGCCATGCCACCCCGTGCCATTTTATTCTGGTGTGAATACCCTTCCTTGGAGTTCACATCCTCTCCACTCCTGTCTGCCCTGTCTTCCCTCCATTCCTCTCTCTGTTCTGGCCCTCGCCCGTCCGTCTCTCTCCCGCTGCGTCTCCCATTCACTCCCCATTCCGCCTGTCCCCCCGCTCCTCGCTGTGTCTCTCTGTGCCAACAGGTGCCAGTGACAGTGGACGCAGTGGGCACCCTCGTCGCCTGGGAGTTCAGCCTCACCTATGGCAAGGTACGGCTTCTGTTGACTCGATGCTCGAGGCAATTTGTGCCAGCCTCACCGGATTGTTGTTTGTGGCTGATCCTGTTTGCTTATCTTCCATGTTCCATGATCCTGCTGGTTGGCTTGTGCTTGTCCCATGTCCCACCACGGTGACACCACACCCCGCTATCCTGTTCTGTGTGTGCGCCGTGCCATGATTCTGTGCATCAGGATATCGGCTTCAACGTGGAATATACTGCAGAAGACGGCACCAAGACGGTCAGTGCTCACTCTCCCATCTCCACCCTCTGGTGAACGCCGCTCAACGTCCCCTTTTTCCTTACTTCTTCTTGTCCTAAGACTTCATATTTTTCCTGTGTTGTTTCTGGCTCCCCTTCTCCTTCATTTCATGTGACATTGGAAAAATCCTCTCCTGACTTTCCCCACTTTCCTCTCATCATCCTGCCTCTGGAGGGTTCCAATCTTAACTACTCCGGTCAACCCTGCAGAACAACCACCCACCTCCATCCTCCCCAGCCCCCTTTCTCACCACCTCTTTTCCCACACGCGCCTCTGGCATCTATTTCTAGCACCATCTGGGATGCTAAGTCTACCTAATACACCATGGGGCTGTTCTCATAAACATCCGCCCATGAGTCACTCTTGAATCCCTGTCTCGGCTGCACATCGTTTGTTCTCATCCATGTCGCCTTGCACTGCCGCGTCCTCTCTGTGTGTCTGACTTGCTCCAGGGCATGGTGCCGTACCAAAAAGTGGACAAGCATGAGGTGCGTGTGTATTGCTCCCTAGATGCTTCGTCTCGTGCTCATTCTTCCGTTCCTGCACTGTTGTGTTGATGGATTTCTAGTCCTATGCGTAGCAAGGGAACTCGTGTTTACCTTTTCTATGTGGGGCCCTTTCATTTGCACTTCCCCCCCCCTGCCCCTCCACCCCCTCTCTGACCTGAGCTTTTTTTCCCCCCACTCCGCTTCCTTCCCTGCATCGTGGTGTCGTGTGTGTGCTCTGTTCTCTGTGCTGTGTGCTGTGTGCTGTGTGCTATTTGCTGAGTGGTGCAGGGTAGCTTCAATGCGCCTGCAGTGGGCTCGTATACCATCACATGGGATAACACCTACTCCCTCCTCACAAAGAAGGTCATACCCCCCACCTGCCCACCCACACTCACCCTCCTCTCCTCCCTCTCCTTCACACACACTCACACACACCCCCCTAAAGGAGTGCCACGCACACTTCATCTGCTCTCCCTCCTGTTACTGCTGTGCACACTCATGTCTTCTCTCCCCCACTCTCAAGGTATTCTTTTTCTGTTTCCCCTGGCCCTGTTCCCCTCTGTCCCTGTCTCCATGTGAGTGCATACCAGACTGTGCGATACAAGGTGGGAGCCATTCCTCCAGTGGAGACAGAGGAGGAGTTGAAAGCAGAGGAAGCTCTTTCACACCCAGAGAATGCCAGCACACCTACTGCTGCTGATGCAGATGCAGGTGTGGCTGCTACGGACGCTACACCTGCTTCTGAAGCTGACGCTGCCACCACTTGATCTACTGTACCATGCTGACTATACTTGGTCCAAGGTTGAGAATTTTCAAATGGACTGGTATAGTACAGGTGTAATTGAAGGTGTAGTACACTGAAATTGAATTCTTGTTCTGTTGGGGTTATGGTGCAGCATTGTGTACTTGGCCCTTGCTATGTCAAGAAGATCCGTTAATGTTTCCAGTGTTTGCCATCAGGGGCGTAGTAAATATTTTTTTTTTCATGAAATTTCCTACCTAGCCTTTTACAACCGGTTGATATTTTTCTCATATATTAAATTGTACTTTGAAAATCTTGTATCAGGCGAGGAGCTGTCTGTTTAACGGAGTTTCCACAGTGAGATGTGTTCGAGGCCAGTGCGGCTCGCTACCTCAACGACAATTATCACGTGATTATTTGTCTGCCCGTCAACATCAGGAAATGATCTGGTTTCCCCGTGTAGCTTTTCTCTACCACAAGTTGTTTTCATTCAATGTTTCGTAAACTTGGTCCTACTGTACTAAGTTCCACCTTTACATGTGTTGTTGTAAGTTTCGTGTCCAAAAAAACTGCATCTTTCAGACCAGAGGTGGGCCTGGTGCCAGAGATGATCTGTGAATTTGGTTGAGGGACTGTTCCTGCCGAACCTATTGGTGCAGTGCTGCTGACATGCAAGTGGGCTGTGGCAAGTGTTGGGCAACCTCTGACACCCTCCACGCGATTCGTCCGACAAAGGAAACAATTATGCGAGAAAGATGTTAGTATTCGCAAAACCGCCATCACCCTACCTAGCCATTGCAAAACTTTCATATACCGCTTCAAAACGTACTAAAACAAGTTCAAACCGCACTGTAACCAGCCGGCTCAAAGCACTGCCTATGCGAAACAGGTTAATGATCTGATAGGTCGGTGAACTGTAGTGGCGCGTCCCGCAATTATCGCACTGCTCGATCTGGTGGCGGAGGGAGACTTGGAAAGCCATATTGACTGGAGCGTTCCAATTTCGAAGGGTGAGCTTCGCTCGAGTGACCTGAAGTTGCCAGCTCCAAAGGCGCACAACGCAGCCGAGTAGACTGCATTGCCAGGACCGTGACCTTCGCGCAAGGTTGCCGTGATACACGTTCCGCTCGAACCGTGCTAATTGTACGCCATCATGGCGTGTCACTGGCATGGCAGCAGGCGGTTCGTCTTCCACGCGACAGTAGCACTAGTCGCTGTGTTGGCACTAACGCCATGGAGCGACGAGCCGGGGCGCTCTGGAGACGGAGTCCGGCTAGCCATGGGGCAGGCAGAGAGCCCGCTGATTGGTCAAGGAGTGGACCCGTTCACGTCGAATGTGGTGGACGAGCCGGTGCCCGTGTATCTCTCCGTCATGCTACGAAAGCTTATCGCCGTTGATGGTAAGATACCGATAATGCGGAGGACGGGATGGCAGAGTGTTTTTGAGTCGACTCAAAAACGGCGTGGTTTTGTTCACGTCGAATGTGGTGTCCGAGCCAGCACCAGTGTATCTCTCCGTCATGCTACGGAAGCTCATCGCCGTTGATGGTAAGATAATGGCGAGGTAACGCATAGTGCGGCCGTCTGTAGGAGGCCTAAATATAAGCTGCTTATAAGAATTCGGAAAGGCGAACTTACTACTAGGCTCGCAGAGTATCCGTCAGCTTTCTGTTACTCGCAATTCCACGTCGCCCGCCGATGCGCGCGCCGTCGTCGATTCAACGACATCCCGCGCCTCGATTCTTCTGGCTGACTTGCGTGTCGGGCTTGTTCATATACCCGCCTGTGCTACCAATTGCGTCGTCTAACTGAGAGCTCATTCACCATCGAAGGGCCCCCGCATTTCATTCATTTCTTATCCACACAAATCAGGTATTCAACGTTTACCTGCTAAGTCCTCTCATGTCCTCTCCCGGCTCTCCCGCCTCTCCCGCCCCCCGCATTCCTCCCCCGTGCGATGCGCGCAGAGCTCAAGTACAGCTACAGCGCGTACTTTCAGGTCGTCACGTCGTGGCGCGATCCCCGAGGTCAGTCGCCGTCCGCTGCCCTGTACCGCTCCGCGCTCGCAAACTACCTACCCGTCGTTCGCGCCCCAATGCCGCTCGTTGCCCCAATGCCGCTCGTTGCCCCATTGCCGCTCGTTCGCCCCATCGCCCCTGCCGATTGATCCTCTTACACTCTTACCCCTCTGAACTGCAAACCTTACAGACCCCCCCATCCTTGTATGTCTCTCCCTCCGCCTACCCTCCTCTCCCCTCTCCGGCGCGCGGCAGTGAACGACACGCTGGGGGTGATGAAGGTGATGGATCAGTTCGCGCTGGACCTCGTGGCGGACGCCATGAGCAACTGCAAGCCAATCGTGGTGCCACCTCATGCCCTCTCTCCCTTCCTCTCCCTTCGGCCCCCTCTTTCCCCATCCCTCGAACGCCCCCACCCTGCAGTGAACGACACGCTGGGGTTGATGAAGGTGATGGATCAATTCGCGCTGGACCTCGTGGCGGTGCAAGTCACACACCATCAGCAACTGCAAGCCCGTCACGGTGTGACCTCATGCCCCTCCTCTCCCCTCTCCCTTCCCATCCCGCATCGCCTCCTCCCCGTGTGCAGTGAACGACACGCTGGGGGTGATGAAGGTGATGGATCAATTCGCGCCGGACCTCGTGGCGGACGCCATGAGCAACTGCAAGCCCAACGTCACCTTCGCGGGCTTCAACATTAGCCAGAAATCCGAGTGCATTGACGGATTCAGTCAGGTGCGCTGCGCGGAAACGTGCTGCCCCTTCGCTCCCCTCCCTTCCCCCACACCCTGCCCAGTCGTGGCATTGCTGTTGCTGTTTTTATTAGACGCGAAGGGGAAGAGGTGGGGGATGGGGAGAGAGTGGGGGGCATGCGGGGATAGGAGGCACAGAGGGGGTTGGAGATGAGGCGGAATGAGAAAAGCTTTTAACATGCTGTCAGAAGTCAAGGAAGTACAAAAAAACTTCTCACAAAGTTTGACGTCAAAAGTCGCGTCCCTCTTGGTCGCTTCCTTCTCTCCCTCCCCCCACTCTCTTACACACTTTAACTACTTAACAGCTTGACTTGGCCTCTCGACGCAGCGTGCTCTGACCACCATTCCTGCACAACCATCCCGCCCTTTCCCCCCTTCCCCTCCGCTGCCACCTTAACGTGCGCGCGTGCCAGACGGGTCTGCCGCAGCTCAAGGACTGCAAGAAGCCGTGCACGCCGGCGGGCACGCGGTGCTGCGACGGCGTGTGGCTGCCCTCGCTCAACATCCCCAATGTCATCTTCTTCCCGCAGGACCGATACTTCACCGGTGAGTGAGCGCAGCGCTGCACTGTTGTGAGGCGCCTCAGAACTCCCATTTGAGGCGCCTCATGGGTCGCTCAACCTCCCCAACGTCATCTTCTTCCCGCAGGACCAATACTTCACTGGTGAGCGCCCCTCCCTCCGCTCCTGCGCTACCTGTGCGTGTGCGTGCGCTCTCTCTTTCTCCAGCTAGTCACTGGTTCACTCCCACGCAGTATACACTCACCCCTTCTCCCTCCCCCTTGCCCCTCCCCCTGCGCATGGCAGAGAGCATCTACTTCTTTGGCGACATAGGCCCGGACATGAGCGCCGTGGACCGCGAGGTGGTCGTGGAAGGTGCGCACGCTGCCCCTGGGGCTCCAGTGAGAGGGTAGTCGAGGGGGAGTGGGAGGAGGGGGTGGTAATGTGGGTGGGGGAGAGCGTTGAGGGGAGAGGTTGGGGGGGACAGGGTGGAGACGTTTGTTCAGTGGAATTTGCTTATCTAAACGCGTTACCTTTTGCTTTTTCCTCTCTTTCCTTCTTCAATCCCCACCCCCCTCCCCCTCTCGTTCCCATGCGCCCTATGCACCAGGCGAGTTTTCCTCCCCGTTCAACTTTCAGCGCTTCCCCTTCGACACACAAGTAAGCCACCCTACCCTACAGCCGTGGCTCCTCTTAACTCCTGTTGAGCACCCAATAAAGCGACAGTAACGGCCTGGCTCCTTCAATCCTCTGCCACCAACCACTCCCTCTCTCCCTCCTCCCCATCTCCCTCATCACACCCAAAGCAAAGCCATCTGGATCCAACCTTCCCCCTCCTTCGCTTCCCCCTCCCGAATCTCCCGCCTCTCCCGCCTCTCCCACCTCTCCCGAATCTCCCGCCTCTCCCGAATCTCCCGCCTCTCCTGCCTTCAACCAGTCCTCAACCTCCTTCCTCTGCTCTCTGCCAACCCTTCCCCCACAGCACCCATACTTATTACTTTTCCCAAGCAACTGCGTCTTCACATCCTACCCTCGTACACAATCATGCATCCTCAGCCTGCATTCTTTGCGCACACCCCGTGCACCCCCCACCGCACAACCCCCACACAACCCCGACTCACCCCCCACTTCCCCCCCCCCCCCCCCCCCCATTAACCGCACACACACCTCCCCCACCACTTGATGGAAGGGAGCAGCAGCATCAGGCTCTTATTGCACCGCTTTTGACAACTCCCACAACGAACAAAAGCACCCCGCGCTCCCCCACAGGACATGCGGTTTACTCATAGTGGCGCTGGAGAGCGGCAACACCCACATGAACCCACTTTTCCCCCACGAGTGTTTTGCAGCTGTACGGCCAACCCGCACATGAGCCCATGGCTTCAAACCAACGCCTACCTGCACTGCACTGCACTCTCCCTGCAACACCCCTCCCCCCCTCCCTCCCCGCCCCACACAGGACCTGCGGTTCACGATAACGGTGCAGAGCGGCAACATCTACCCGGAGTGCTTGCATCACTTTTGAAAAACTCTCAGCCTCTCACTACTAACGGTGAAAGACTCAATCACGCCCCTCTCCCCGCCCCGCCCCCCCTCCTCCTCCCTCCCAGGACCTGCGGTTCACAATAACGGTGGAGAGCGGCAACATCTACCTAGTGACGTCCAACTCGGGCCGGCAGCAGGAGCAGGCGTCCAAGGGGCTCAGCGGGGGCGGTGGGGGGGGCTTTGCCTCGGACGAGGTCACGGGGTGGCGAATTAGCCGCGTGGGGCTCAACTGCTCCGCTAGTTCCTCCAACACCGCTGTTTCGGACCTCGCTAACTATGCCCAAGGTGTGGGAGATTTCTCTAGCCGACTCTAGCGTACCCTGTGTCTCTTTGCCTCGGACGAGGTCACGGGGAGGCGCATCACCCACGTGTGTCGGGCTCAACTGCTCTGCCAGCTCATCAGACACTGCTGTTTCTGATCTTGCTAACTATGCCCAAGGTGCGTGCCGGTATCGATTTCGAGATGGCTCTTGAGGCGCATCAGCCGCGTGGGACTCAACTGCTCCGCCAGCTCCGCCAACACCGCTGTTTCAGATCTCGCCAATTATGCCCAAGGTGCGCCGCCTGGGTGTGAGAGTGAGAGGCAGTTCTCAATGTCGGGTCACGGAGTGGCGCATCAGCCGCGTGTGTGCAGCTCAACTGCTCCGCCAGCTCCTCCAACACCGCTGTTTCGGACCTTGCCAACTATGCCCAAGGTGCGTGCCTGGTCTGACTTATGAGAGATGGCTTTTGAGGCGCCTCAAAGCGCATCAGCCGCGTGGGACTCAACTGCTCCGCCAGCTCCTCCAACACCGCTGTTTCGGACCTCGCTAATTATGCCCAAGGTGCGCAGCAGCCTGGGCGTGAGAGTGACGGACGGTTCCCCAATGTTGGGTCTCGGGGTTGGACTCACGGGGTGGCACATCAGATCAGCCGCGTGGGACTTAACTGTTCCGCTAGCTCCGCCAACATGGCTGTTTCGGATCTTGCTAACTATGCCCAAGGTGTGAAGCCCGGGCTTTGAAAAAAGGGTTATTTACCCTAAAGTGTGTATCGTCTCTTGCGAGTGTGGAGGAGAGGAAGGGGAGTGGGAACGTGGTGGAAACGATGTGGAGAAAGACTCTCAACAGACAGAAAGACTCCCGCTCACTCGCCCGTCTTTGCCCCTTCCCCTCCACCCTCCCACTCCTCCTCCCTCCCCCTCCCCTTCTCCTCCCCCTCCCCTCCCCTTCTGCCCCCCTCGGTGCAGATGACCCGTGGGCGCAGGTGAGCAGCGGAGGGGGAGCAGTGGACCCATCGAGGCCCACTACGTGTGTGTTTCTCATCTCCATCCAGCGCACCAGCGGCGTCTACGTCCTCTCCGTACGCTCCCCTCCCGCTCTGCACCCCGTCCTGTCCTGTCCCGTTTCGTCCAGCCCCTGCCTCTCCCGCTCTCGCTCGTTTTTTAGAATTCTCAAAAACCAGCTCGCAACGCTCTCTCGCAAGGTGTTCTCCTCCCTCACTCTCTCTTGCCACACTCACTGGTTTTTCTTTTCCCGCGCCTGTTCTTGCGTCGCTCGGTTATTGGTGTTGCTTGTTCCATTCCTCCTCAGATTACCTTCCCCTCTCGACCCCCAACACTCCATCACCCGCCTCCCATTCCACCTCGTCCTCCCCCTTTCTTCACATCCTCTCCCTCGCTCTCCCTCGTCCTTCCCCCCCTTATCTCTCCACTCCTCGCTTTCATCCAACCCATCTCCTCCCAATCCCCCTCTCTTCTCCCCTCCCAACCTCCCTCTCTTCTCCCCTCCCTTTTCTCTCCATCAACCCCGCGTCTCCTTGGCAAACAGGTGATTATCCCCGTGATGCTGAGCGTGTACCTGACCTTCTCTGTGTTCTTTGCCAAGCCAGAGGACCTCGAGGTCCGCTCCGCCACCTGTGTCACGCTCTTCCTCGCCCTCGCCGCCGTGCAGTTTGTCATCGACAGCCAGGTGATTGCGCGGGCGGGTGGGTGGGCGGGTGGGTGGGTGGTCTGGCCATGCAGGCGCACACACATGGTCATTCTCTCATGCATGCACACACACATGGTCATTCTCTCATGCATGCACACACACATGGTCATTCTCTCATGCATGCACACACACATGGTCATTCTCTCATGCATGCACACACACATGGTCATTCTCTCATGCATGCACACACACATGGTCATTCTCTCATGTATGCACACACACATGGTCATTCTCTAACGCATGCACACACACATGGTCATTCTCTCATGCATGCACACACACATGGTCATTCTCTCATGTATGCACACACACATGGTCATTCTCTCATGCATGCACACACACATGGTCATGCTCTCATGCACGCACACACACATGGTCATTCTCTCATGCATGCACACAAACATGGTCATTCTCTCATGCATGCACACACACATGGTCATTCTCTCATGCATGCACACACACATGGTCATGCTCTCATGCATGCACACACACATGGTCATGCTCTCATGCATGCACACACACATGGTCATTCTCTCATGCATGCACACACACATGGTCATTCTCTCATGCATGTTCACGCACGCATGCATATACACTCGCTCTTCCTCGCCCTCGCTGCCGTGCAGTTCATAATTGACAGCCAGGTGGATGCATAGGTAGGTGGTCTGGCCATGCACACATGCACACATGCATGCACACGTGCCCATGAGCGCATGCCTCTTGCTCCTCCTTCTTCCGTCTTCCTTCTCCTTCTCTCCTCCTCCTCCTCCTCCTCCTCCTCCTCCTCCTCCTCCTCCTCCTCCTCCTCCTCCTCCTCTTCCTCTTCCTCCTCCTCCTCCTCCTTGTATTCTCCTGCACCTGTTGATTGCGTCCCACTCTATCCCTGTCATCCCCTCTAAAATCTCCTCCCCATTCCCCCCCTCTTCCCTACCACTCTCCCTCGTTCTCCCCTTCCTTTTTTTCCTCTTCCCCCCCACCCCTTCCGCCCCTTCTCCCTCCCCCTCCCTTCCCTGTTCCCCCCAGCTGCCGCGCACGTCAGCCATAACGCAGTTTGGCCACCTGCTGATCGCGTCCTACACTGTCCAGGCGAACCCCTCCTAAATTCTCTTCCTCCCGTTCCCCTCCCCCGTCGTCCCCAGCTGCCGCGCATGTCAGCCATAACGCAGTTTGGCCACCTGCTGATCGCGTCCTACACTGTCCAGGCGAACCCCTCCTAAATTCTCTTCCTCCCGTTCCCCTCCCCCGTCGTCCCCAGCTGCCGCGCACGTCAGCCATAACGCAGTTTGGCCACCTGCTGATCGCGTCCTACACTGTCCAGGCGAACCCCTCCTAAATTCTCTTCCTCCCGTTCCCCTCCCCCGTCGTCCCCAGCTGCCGCGCACGTCAGCCATAACGCAGTTTGGCCACCTGCTGATCGCGTCCTACACTGTCCAGGCGAACCCCTCCTAAATTCTCTTCCTCCCGTTCCCCTCCCCCGTCGTCCCCAGCTGCCGCGCACGTCAGCCATAACGCAGTTTGGGTACCTGGTGATCACGTCCTACATCTTCATCATGCTCTCCACCATTGAATCCGTCATCGTCTTCTGGCTCGCCGACCGGGTGAGACGGGTATAAGGGAGGGAAGGACTGGGGGACGGGGGGACAGGGGCACGGGGGGGTGAGAGGACATGAGAGGGAGAGATGGAGTGGTTTACATCTTTGTCATGCTCTCCACCATTAAATCCGTCGTTGTCTTCTTTTGTCGTCGCTGACCGGGTGAGACGGGTTTAAGGGAGGAAAGGACGGGGGGAGAGGGGTAGAGGAGAGGAGGGGGGGAGCGGAAGAGAGTGATGAGATGGGGGATACAGGGAGGGGAAAAGGTCGGACATGAGAGGGAGGGAGATGGCAGAACTGTGTGTTGGTGAGAGAGTGAGTGATTGTGAAGGTTCATGCTCCTTAGGGTTGCACCTTACAAGGCTTGGCCAAGTATCTGTCGCTGGCTTGCTTCGATGCAGCAGTGTGCACCTCTTTTCATATCCTCCTTCAAAAACCGCAACCTACGCCACTCCACCATTCCCACCTACGCCACTCCGCCCACCCCGCCCTGAGCAGATAGAGAAGGACGTGGTGAAGGCAGTGAGCAAGCGATTAAGGTCACGCAAAGAGAAGCCGCCCGCGCCATCGTCGCACGACACGTACAACACACTCTCTGTCGAGCTCATGAAGTCGCAGCTGCCGCCTCCGGCCGGCGTTGGGGAGGGCGAGATGAGCGTAGACGAGCGGGACGACGGGGAGGCGAAGCGGTCGGAAACGAGTGGACCGCCGGCAGGGCCTTCGGACGGGCACGGGGAGAGTGAGAAGCCGGACGATGATACCAAGTGCGACCCGAGTGGCTGGGTACGTGCGCGGGTCGGGGGTTTGTTTGGGCTGTGGTTGATTCTGTTTGCTGCTGTGTCTGGGAGGGGGTCGTGCATTGCTGTTGAGTACATACGTGTATTTACAAAAGGAACTCGAGTTTTGCTGGAGGTAGTATTTCTTCTACCAGCAATTGTTCCGCATGCATTCTCTTCCTTTCTGTACAAGCTGTTATACTCACTCGCAACTACCCTGCTACTGACAGCCTTGGGGATGCCTTCGTCACTGTGGTTACCGTTACAAGTCGAAGACAGAGGGACACGAAGACGAGGCCAATTATAAGCTTGCTGTTGTGATTGATGCTGTCTGCTTCATCGTCTTCTTTATTGCGTACACTGTAGTGTGCATCGTGCTTTATGTGTAACCCACTTTCGTTGGCACATCACGCGGCACAGTCTGACGTAGGGACACTATTTAGTTTCTCCTACTCTGCAAGTCCCGTATTTGGTGATGTTAACACAGCCATATGGGATAGACCAGATGCAACACCTGGCCAGTCATGCACTGGCCAAAATATGGCATTTGTCCTTGGCCAAAATCCCCAGTTACAGGCTGGTGATGTGATTGGTTCCAAGCTTGAGAAAACAATCACAGAGTTAGGAGGTTGCGGGCGGAAACAATATGGGTTTGACTGTCTGTCTGCTGTATAGAACCCTTCCTACACGGATTTTATAGAATGTTTTTGTATGAAACGGGGGCGTTTGTAAGAGCTTCAGCCGTCTACTTCTTGCCTGATCTTGGGGCTTTGATTTGGCATCGCACCCAACCTCTTACTGAGTGACTCGGCCTAACGTCAACTCGAGTCATCGTCACGAGCTGGCTCGTCCGATGGCACGTGTCCGCGTCACAGCAGAAGACACTCTCGTCACATCACCAATCAAAACTTATGCACGAGATTCCCCTAACCGCTTGGCTGTCCAGCATTCGGAGGGCCAGAAGTTTCGCCAACCTCTTTCCCCAGCAGTTCACCACTAAGGAAAATGTTTCCTGCCCGCAGGCCTACCACAAGCACTACACCAGTGCCAAAGCAAAAGTTTCATGGTCCTTTTCTTTGGCCAAGTCGGCGTCGCGTTGATGCGGTGGATTCTTCATGGGGCTGAGAGTAGAAGTTGCTGCGTCGGAGCGACTCGTGATTTACGTCATCCGTCCCCACAACCGCATCGCACCTCCACGTGGCATTTGACCATACCCGCCCGCCACACCAACCGATTTTCCAAGTTCCAAGCCTACCCCTTCTGTTCAAATTGCACTCTCGTTCGACATTTCTTGCATTGCATTTACAACTTTCTGCTACTACATTCCAAGTCCTCCGACATTGTTCACCAGCTCGCGTCTTCAGCAATTTTCATTTGCACGTGTCTTTTCCCGACAGCTTTCGACCAGTCTGCTGCAACGCTCTCATTACCGGAAAAATGGCTCTTCTCGCGGTTCACTCACAAGTGGGCGTCGCTGCCCCGGTCGTCCATATGGCAAGCAATGAGCGTCGTTCGACTCTGGCTCCCTCAGCCGCAGTTCACGGCGCTTCGCGAAGCAGCATAATTGGAACCTCTCTAATGGAACCACACACGGTTTCCAAGGCTCGATGTGTGGCGGTTCTGCAGCAACGGGCGCCCCCGGCCGTGGCGGCAACTCCGATGGAGGTGGCGCAGAAGGGATGGTCTTATTCGCAGTACGGCTCCGCCGTCAGGGACCTCCAATTCGGCACCGTTCCTCTGCCCGAAGTTGCACCCGACCAGGTACGCCTCTAAAGATAGTTTCTCTCCGTTCAATGTGGCAGCAGTTTGCACCATTTTGCACTCGGAGCTTGGCGGATTGTCGTATTTAGATGCGAAGATGTCGTCATACATTTTCTGGAGGCATGACACCTTAACTTACGAGTCTGTTTTCTAATATTCACTGCAATTGGGGCGAATTGCCACTCATTAACGTGGTTTATTGCGGTGCGATGCCGGCGGCAGGTGCTCATTAACGTGTCAGCCGCGGCGCTGAACCCCATCGACATCAAGAGGATGCGCGGCGCGTTCAAGGAAACCGACTCTCCACTTCCCGTGAGCCGTCCAACCCCTCTGTCGTCTCCTTCCGTTTGCCAATGTCAGGCACCCATGGTCATGGACCCTCGCGGCGACTCGAAGTCGCCAGTGGTCCCCATTGCTTGCCTTAACTCGAATTCTAACCTCGTTCCGTCTCATGGCTCAGCATGGTTCCGTTCACTCCAATTCTGTAGATTTCTTACCGTCATCCTTGTCGTGTCGTTTTTTATCAGACGGTGCCCGGGTACGACGTGGCGGGCACGGTGGTGGCGGTGGGGAGCGCCGTCACCAAGTTCGCAGTGGGCGACAGAGTCTTCGGCGACATTAACGAGTTCGCCACGCTCATGTGAGCCACGCCGCGCCACACCCTTCCCTCTCACCCTCTTGCACCTTTCCGAAGACGCAATTACGTGCAATTCCGTGCAAGAAGGCGCCCGCCTCAACGGTGAAACAGCTCATGGCTCACCTGCTTTTCTTTTTTCCTCAAATGTGCGCGTTCTCTTCCGTGTCCCATCGTGGTTTTGCCAGGCCCAAGCAGCTGGGGTCACTCGCGCGTTTCACGGCGGCCGAGGAGAGGCTCCTCGCTAAGATCCCCGACAACATGTCCTTCGCCGAGGCTGCTGGTGAGCGATCTCCCCGCCCTCCATCCAGTCCCGTGCGTCCTTACTCCCCGTTCCGTGTGCCGCGGCTTCCCACCGCCCTTCTCACCGCCCCTCTCACTGCCCTTCTCACTCACACATCTCGCCGTCCCTTCTTCCGCCGCCTCTCTCTTTTTTTTTTTCTTCCTCGCTGGGGTTGCAGCGGTGCCGATGGTGGCACTGACGGCGCTGGGGGCGTTGGAGGCGGCCAACTTCAAGCACGGGCAGTCCGTGCTCATTCTCAACGGCGCAGGCGGCGTCGGCTCCATGGCCATTCAGGTACTACTGCTACCCGCGCCGCGCTCCCTCCGCCTGCCTCTTCGCGCCTGCCACCGCTAGCCTTGCTCATTTCTGTCTCTTCCCTGATAATGCTGCCACGGCAACTTTTTATTCCAATGACAATGTCGTCTGCTTGCTGCTCCGTCCCTGGCCCACCCACTCGCTTCCCGTCTGTCCGTCTCTCCAATCGTCCCATCCCTCGTCACAGGTGGCAAAGAGGGTGTTCGGAGCAGGGTTTGTGGCGACGACGGCGAGTCTGCCCAAGGTGGGGCTGCTGGAGGCGCTGGGCGCGGATCACGTGGAGGACTATCGCACCATGGACTACACGCGCCTGCCGCAGCTCTATGACTGCGTGCTCGACTGCGTTGGTGAGATTGTCGGCACATTGCATGCGCCACACGCGCATGGTGCACATTCGGGGATTTTGATTTTCTTGTTTCTATGGATTTTACATGCATTGCATATCAGTCCCATTACTTTTGCTCGGCTTGTGAGTTTTTTGGGAATGAACCACCAGGTGAGTGAGCTTGCAGGTTCAGGGTTTCGTTTGAACACAGTGAACGTGCGGGTTGAAAACAAACAAGAAAGCCCAGATTACCTCTCGCAACCTCTCTTCTCTTCCCACATTTTCACCCATTTCTCCTGCTGTCTGCCCTCGTTTCCCCTCCAACCTCCTCAACGCCTCCCATTCCCCACCCACCCCTTCCCTGCCTTACCCGGACCTACCCGTACCAACAGGCGAGGCGGAGCGTGCAATGAAGGTGGTGAAGCCAGGCGGGGCGTACGTGTGCCTGACAGGCGCAGCCCCTGCGCCAGCAGTGGTCTTCAACATGGTGTCCAGCGGAGCCAAGCTGCAGCAGCTGGTGCCCTTCTTCGCACGCGGGGAGCTCAGGGCCGTCATCGACCCTCATGGTGTTTTCGCTCTCTTCGCCGTGCCGTCCGCGTTTGAGCATCTTGAGTCAGGCCGCGCCACCGGCAAGGTTGTGGTGGGCGTGCTGTGACAGCGGTGAACCGCTGCTGAGCACACCTTGAGAGGGTGTGGTGTGGGTGCTGGAGCTGAGGTTGGGGTGGTGGGACCATTGGGGGTAGAATGCGAAGAGGAATGAGGATTCGGCACTGGTATGGTACTACATGGGGTTTGCTGCTGCTGGCATAATACCACAGCAGGCCAACCTTATCATTTTTGGGGTCTGCTGGGTCATTTTTGGTACTATCTTCCAACCTTATGTATGTATGGAGCCTGTGGGATTGGGTAGTTACTGGTAGGTGTAGGTGTGTTGGTTTCTTTCCTTTTTTCTTTGTGCAGCTGGAGAGCTCTTCCTTGCCACTGCCTTGTGGGCAACTGTACATTTCCCAAAGTTTTATCGCCCGCGGGGTTGTTTGTGAGCAAGTGTAACCAGCATCTTACCATTTTACCTTTGTGATTTTAAACTTAGGGTACATTCCGCTGTGGACATGCGTCCCAATCGATGTGTCCCAATCGGGTGTACCGCTCCGAACCGCACTAAACCAGAGAAGCGAAAATTTTGAAACTAGGGTGTAATTCGGTGTAATAAGATTCAGTGCGGTACACCCGATTGGGACACATCGATTGGGACGCATGTCCACAGCGGAATGCACCCTTATATTGCCTCGAATTTTGATGAAGCCCACTTTCCTGCTGCTGTTGTTTCCGCAAAGAGTCTCTGGTAAAGGGTTGTCCCAATATGTCTAGGCATTTATGCAGTTGCTTTACACTTGCAAGTGGAGCAGAGCAGGGAAGAGAGGAATGAGACGCTTGAAGAGTTGTAAGGTGAGGACGGAATATGCATCCAGCTACGAGAACGGAATATGCAGCAGACACAATCAACATGGCAGCAAAAAGAATATGCATGACGCGCATTTGTATCTTTGATTGCACTACCTACCAAGCCACAAAAGTGTCAAGAGTATTTAGGTAAGCGACTAATGGAAAAATTGCATGGTACGAAGGAACAAGCATCCGCATGGCCCGTCCACCCAACAGAAGTATTATACTTACCACATCAAAGCTATATGATGCCACTGGTTTGTAGCATCTGTGTAGCAATTTAATGCGATTCACTTTGCGAGAATGGAACAGATTAATGCTGTTTTTTTTTTTTTCTTTTCTTTTTGGGTTGCGAAGCAACCCTTTACGATCGATTTTGCCAAATTTTATTTTCATATTTATATTTTTTTTAGAATCATGAAAATAAAATTTGTCAACTACAATAATACCCTTCCCATACTGTATGCATGTTGAGCAGTTTTGAATACGGTACTGTTCATAGTGCATTAAACCAAATGATATTTTTGCAATTGTTTAGTGTAGATTTGCTGTACTGTTTGCATTATATGTTACTGTTAGATGATGTCGTGTAATGATAAAGAGATGCATGCGTAATGCATAAATGATGATATGCAATGCATAATGCATGGAATGATGCTATATAATGCATGTGATATGTCATGAATGATACACATGCACATGATAAAATGCGTGACAGTTAACAACCCAAAAACTAAGCTACCGCCATCCCCTGGCTAGCATGGTGTCAGAATGAGGAATGGATGATGCATTGATGTTGGTTGGGGTACATATAGCTAACCCTAAGTTTTGTACCCCCTAAGACAAACCTCACTATAGGCTACAACATTTGACACACCCCCATAGCCTAAGTGAGGGGTGTCTAGCAGAACCAAACGAGTACGGTCACAAGACCAGTCCAAGAAACGAAGCTCAGGGTGGATCACAACGTCACCACACAGTCTGAGCACAAACAACAGTGGCCACAAGGCCAGTCCAAGAAGTAACAGAGGTATATAGAAAGCAAAGTAAACAGTACACTCAAGCCTAAGCAACACGAGAACCAGTGTCAACAAGGCCTAACTGCACACAGCACCTCTGGTGGTCACAAGGCGGAAGCGCCTTGGTGAAGATGTCTGCAGTGTTGGCCTCGGACTCCACAAACTCAAAGCGAGCCTGTCCACGCCTCTGCAACTCTCGCAGAAGAAAGTACCTGACGTGAATGTGCTTCACTCTGCTCTCCAGTCGTGGCTCTCGACAAAGGAGAATAGACGCCTTGTTGTCAGTGAACAAGGTCGGTGCAGAGCTCGGCCGCTCACCAAGGTCGGTGAGCAAGAAGGTCAACCAACGCAGCTCCTGTGCCGCCATGGCACCAGCGTAGATCTCAGCCTCAGCTGTAGAGGTCGAGACCGAAGAGGAGCGCGTGGACCGCCAGGAAACAGCTCCAGAACCCAGGCTGAAACAGTACCCCTGAGTAGACCTGTGAGTCTCAGCGTCGTCAGCGTAAGAGGAGTCACAGTGACCAGTAAGTACGATAGACTGCTGCCCTCCAAGAACTAGCCCCACGCCTGACGTCGTCGCTAGGTACTTTGCCACCCTCACAGCTGCTGTCCAGTGAACAGGACGGTGTCTCCCTGGCGCAACAAAGCGCGCAAGAACGCTGAGAGGGAAGGCGAGGTCCGGGCGAGTACAAGTCATCAGGTACATGAGGCAACCCACAAGCTCTGCGTAGGGACCACTAGGCTCGAACGGCTCGTCAGGAAAGGGTCCAGTGAGTCTGTGGTCAACAGCAAGAGGTGTGCGCTGTACTGTGGAGTGCTGAAGCCCGAACCGCTGAAGGACCTGCTGCACCATGTGCGACTGTGAAAGTGTAATGGTGCGAGCAGCTCTGTCCCTGGTGATCTGCAGGCCAAGGTAGTGGCGCAGCTCACCAAGATCAGTGCAGGTGTGTCTCTTCTGCAGTTCGGACTTCACGTGTGCCA